AGATCGTGCTCCCTGCGCACAAATATAATTAAATATACTATGAGTAGTTATACCAGATACAAAATGTATCATTGTTAATTGGCAACATAAAAACTATCAGCTAGCATTATGCCTCATACGGTTATACCTATTTTTTTTTATCGAATGTCCCCGAAGGGACTCATACGGTCACTCCTATAAGTGTATTACATGTGGAGTCGATGGAGTACTGTCTTTTCAATAATAAAAAAAGTCGATTTATGCAAATAAAATTAATGCTTGGTGCAGTAGGCCATCATATATCCTCATATTGCTCGACGAGTAATTAATTATACTAATTTGTTACGTTAATTAGCTCATCCCTACTGCGCTCTTTTCTCTTGACCTCGCTTGCAACTCGGGGTCCCTTGCCCCAAGGCTTTAATCTTTCCCCCGATGGCCTTCTTTAGAGTTAGGGTGTGCTTAGTTTCGTTGGAGGTGGGTCTGCTTGGGAACTCTAGCCAATAGTTACTTGCTACATCTGGCCGAGTTGAACCTACTATACCACTGCTATTGAGCCACCAATATGTTGATTATGTTGGTCAATTCATAGCCAACGTTTGGACACTAGGCCCGACTTTAAAGGGTTCGAGTTAACCCTAATTGCTGGAGCAAGGGTTGGTGTGACTTGCTTGAGGCATATTAAAAAAAAAGCGGTGGATTGGTTCTCGCATATTCTCTAACGGCTTGAGTGTCGATCGAACCTCTCGTTTCTCCTTGATAGGAAACCAACCCTTGGGGGTGGGACTGCCCCCCACCCTATTGGCCAAGATGCTCGCGCAGGTCCCGTGAGTGTTCACTTCCCAATTCAATCATTTTGATATATTTTGTAATTACACTTATAGAACAAAGATTATGTAAATCTTAGGAACATGTACTTTTTTAGAGATAAATGACACCAATGATAGTTTTAATGAATCGGGTCCACGTACTATGAAACCAAGTAAATATTACAAAATAGGTCTGTATGTGAAGTAATACGAGTAATAAAAGTAAGGGCCCAATCCCTTAGAATATTGCAATTAGGCTACAATGAGATTTAAATACATAAAAGCATAAATCTGCAGGACATGTCCCCTAACCAAGTAGCTAGTTGAAAATTACCTACGACCAACGACAAACAAGAAAAGTCAAGTGGAAGTCTTGATATTAATGATGATGATCTGAAAATACACGATCAAGCATTTCTAAATACGAAAAGTCACGTTATTATTATTATTTTTTTCATTTCTCTTTCAATTTCTCACCCTGAATTATCCTAGATGAATGGATGCGTTTATCCACACGTTCTCACGAAATTACTAGCTAGTTCTTATAGGAATCAAACACATCCAATATCCATGTCTGAAAGTAGGGTGATATACTCCAAGTGAAGGCTGGCGAGATTGTCTCAGTAAAATTACTACTACCACATATAACAAGTAATAAGTGTATTGACGGATAGATGCAGGTCGATGGGTGTAACATGTACGTCGTCATCACAACAACAATAATAAATGATGTTGTGGATATAATACCATCCTATGTACTGTACTCCATGCATCTTCAATTCAATTCAATTCCATCAATTTATTTATAGCAGAGGTAGTTAATGTTACTTATTACTTGAGCTAGCTAGCTTACCTTGCCAATATAATGGAAATACATGAATTGCCCCATCAATACTGCTGCTACTACCAAAGTCTTCGTCGTCTACCACCATCATTACCACTAGCTACTACTCAGATCGCCACCTTAACTCATATAACTATGTACGTACCATATATACTTATTATGTACTCCATATGGACCATATATATATATATATATATATATATATATATATATATATATATATATATATATATAGAGAGAGAGAGAGAGAGAGAGAGAGGATTAGGATAAGGTGCGAAGAGCATCTCCGGTGCTAAATTGCAGATAAGTATGATCAATGACTCTTTTAAAATAAATTCAATACAAAATGTGCACTTGAAGAACCAAAAACATGCACTTGAATGTCAAAATTATGCACTCGAAGGGATGCATAAAGATGTGCAATCGAAGCAATTATGGTATCAAAAAGGGAAGCTATTCAACTTAAGTATTATTAAAGCAATTACAGTTACAAATCGTTTGTGAATCTCACTAATTTCATTAGATATTTAATTATACGTTGTTGAAAAGAAGGCAAAAGATGTAATAAAACTTACCCATAATTATGCACTTGAAAGAACAATAATGTACACTTGAAGGCCAAAATTCTGCATTTGAAGTCACAAAGATGTGCAATCGATGCAATTTATGGTACTAAAAAGATGAGTTATTCAACTTAAGTGTTATTGAAACAATAATTACCCTTACAAATCATTTGTGAATCTCATAAATTTCATAAAAAATTTAGTTATATGTTATTGAAAAGAAAGCAAAAGATATAACAAACATTGGCCCATAATTCTTCCAAAAGGCTGAAACCCCAACCCTAAGGGCCCCCCACACCCCGGCCCGACAGAGCATTTGGAAGGGTGTAAATCATAGTGACTCAACTGAACATGAACCATAGAGGCTAGACCGGTGCTCACTGCGCACAAGGAGCCCCCCTCACTTTGAGAGGTTGCTCTCACACTGCCGCTGGTGAGACTCGATCCCTGATCATTCTTCCAAAGTTTCACCTCTATGACCAGTTGAGTTACCCATGCGGGCACATTGGCCCATAATTATGCACTTTGAAGGCACAAAAATGTGCACTCCAAGAGAAAACTATGTACTGAGACAAAACATATGCACTCTAAAAAAAATGTGCACTCGAAGACAAAGACTATCTGAACTTACTTTGAGTTATTTACCATAGTGTCATTGTATTTTATTTTATTTTTAATTATTTTCATTCTGGACTTTCGATTTGAATTTGATCAACGAATGAGATTAAACCTTATTTTTTTACCTAAATAATTGTATTTGATCCGTTATATATATATATATATATATATATATATATTTATATATATATATATATATATATATATATATATATATATATATATATGTGTGTGTGTGTGTGTGTGTGTGTGTGTGTGTGTGTGTGTTATAGGACGTCATACGTTATGTTTGGTACGGTGGATCGAGTTGTATTTCTTACTTTACCTAACCCGCTGAAGTACGTACAAGAGAAGAACATATCTCCACTTTAATTAGCATTAGCTACTCCATGTATTGAAGGCATCATACAATTTTCTTATACATATGGTTCACAACAAATTGATTGGTTTAATTTCATGTTCAATCAAGACCGACAAAAGTCCAAGTCTATGCGAGTTTACTCAATAAGTTGGGAGAAACACCCATAAAAGAATGGACCATGTTAGAGATCCTTACAATTATCATTTCTTATTAATCACTCTTTAAAATGTTATATTTTTATTAGATACATAAATATATCTTTTATTAATTCAGTATGGAGTCAGCTAATTCACTAATAATATAATCTATAAAAATAAATAGCTTTTCTTTTTTAATATGGGAATAACAATTGCAAGGGTTTAAAGTATTTTCTTTAAAGAATTTATGAAGGTGAAATTAAGTTATAGATGATGCTGTGTTTAATTAATGGTCGGTCTAGTGTTGATTATATAGATCATTAGCCATATTACACACATTGTTGCAATAATAATATGTATACTCTAAACTAGATATAATATATATACTCTAAACTAGATAGATGTGGTACTAACTAGTAACCAGATTGGTATATGTGCATTAGTTAATTAAATGAGGTGAGAGTAGATATGCTATATATTTATGTACGTCTTATGGATCGGATGTAATAATGAGGCACCAATTAAGCAGGCAAGTACTACGCTAAGTAGGGCAAAGAGTAAGGAGGAAGACATGGTCTGTTGCCCCTTACTCCAGGGTGCAGTGCTTATATATATAATATAATATATGCACACATGACATGATGAGATTATATATATATGAGTGTATGTGTGTGTACTGTGTAGTATCCAAGGGGAATTGAAGTAGTAGTGAACGTACATGTACAATATTTAAACTTAACTTTAATTTTACATATTATAATAATTATGGTTAGTTGAATGTTTTAAAGTTGATAATTTAGTATTAAAATTTCCCCTAGAAAAAAATTTAGGGACAAAGAAGAATAATGCAACAAGTAATAGTAATAGCAAAAGTTAAAGTTGGGGATAACTCGAAGTCCCCATTCAACATGGCAAGAGATCGATCCACACTTGTAACTATAAGGTTACGAGTTCGGGAAATCATCATTTTGGTCCCTCGTAAAGATTTAATTGACGATTTTTTTTTTTTTGAAATACTTATGGTTCTTTACAAGGTAGTATCTATTCTGTATGATTTTTTTTTTTTTTTTTGAAATACTTATGGTTGTTTACAAGGTAGTATCTATTCTGTACTTTCTCAAACATTTTCAGTCAGTCCAAAGAATCTAAGTCCCCATCACCCGGGTTCGAATTTCTGACCATCCGGCCACTTGGATGGATAACCGGGATGCCATCACACTACATGGTACATAGTTGGCTAATTGACAAAATTTTAAACAAATCGAGAATCAAATTAGTTGAAATTGAAAATTATGAACATATTGACATGCATGCAGTTGAGAAATAATTGATGAACCAAAATGGTGATTTTTGGAGAAAGAAATGGGATGTTGAGTTAATGCAAAATAGGAGAGTAGGATTTGGGGCATTAAAGAGAGAGGCAGTGGGCTCTTTAAATGCTAGGGCTGTCCAGCTTTTAATGTGCGTTGATGAAGCTAATTTAAGCCCAATTTAAGTAGACACACCATCTTGCATGACCACCTGCAATATTTTCACTACTACCACTGCACACCAGGCCAGGCCACCTGCTATCCCTTATTAGCTACCTTCAATTCAATTCAATTCCACTCCATCTTCAATTTATTAATTATATTATTTATTATAATTCCATTCCACCAATTAATTTCTAACTCTATCTACCGCTTCTTCCAGCCATCTACTACTATATATACACTGCACACTCATATTCTCTTCTATCTATTCCTTGGCCTACTTAATTAGCTAGCTAGCTTTCTTTCATCATATACATATATATATCTCTATGGAATTCCCAGAACTCTCTTTGAGCCTGGCTGCCAGCAACTTCAACGGCGACAATGCTGCAGATTCCGACCAAGATATCAGACTTCCCATGAAGAGAAAGATTCAAAGCGGCGGCGGCGGCAGTGTTGACCTCCACCAGCCTTGGATGGAACCCCTCCCAGTAGATTGGGAACAATGCCTTGATCTTCAAGTAATTTAACTACCTCCTTTTCTTCAATTCTTTTTTTTTTTTAAATAAATTTGAGACTTTTACTATTAAATTATAAAGTTAAAGTATAAGAAATTTCGATCTATGCATATAGTAAGTTTTGAAATAATTATTCTGTTGTGTGGGACAACCTTAACCAAGTTGGTAAAGTGTTATGCGGGACAATCTCAACCAAATTAGTTCAAATTGGTCAAATTGTTGACCTGATACCTACAACATTACTTATAATTGACTATTTCAAATAGGATTGTTGTCACTAGTTCAGTAGGCAATATTTAAGGAGGGAGACCAAAGTTTGAAATTCAACAGTGTCGAGATTTTGCCTAAAGTGAACAGATTTCTTGTGCTGTTGTACACACCAATATTTGGCCTATCTGCTGGACAATTGAGTTATGGTGACTTGAATCCTTCTAAATGTTCTTTTGGGTTAGAGTATGGAGGTCCTTGAAATTGGAGATTGAGAAAGAAATGTCTATTAGGCAAGACGATTAATTCCCCCTAGCGCCCCTAAGAATGAATTTTTTTTATATATACCGGAGTGTATATATATATTATTTTGGGTTTGTATTTGAATTTAATGATTTAGGTTCTAATTAGTGGTGGTGTAATAAATATATTGTTTTCAGTCGGGGAGAATGTACTACGTGAACAGGAAAACAATGAAGAAGACATGGGAGTGGCCAAAGGAGCAGAAGCAAGCTCAGCTCAACCTCGAACTCAACATCTCAACCAGCGGCGCTCATTCCTACGAAGATCGCCATCACAAGAAACACCAGCATCCATCATCGCCGCCGTCGAACGGCGCCGGAGGAGAAAACATGATAGCGTTGCCGTGCTCCAATTGCCATCTCCTGGTCATAGTTTCTCAGACCTCCCCCTCTTGCCCTAACTGCAAGTTCGTTCAGTACTCCGCCGCCGGTAACCGGTCGCCGGCTAAGCCGTTCCATTCCGGCCTCAGCCTCTTCAACTGATGTGATGAATGATATGATGATGATCGGTACGGTACGGACGACGGGATCGGAGTGACGTTCTATATATATACATACACGTGTTGTACGTATTTTCATTTTAATAGTGTTAGCTAGGTAGGTATGTTAATGTAGATGCTTTTCCATTTTATCAGGTTACTGCTACAATGTTGCTTTTAATTAATTAATTAATTATTTTAATTTCTAGGTTTTCGAATTCTCCTCAGTTCTTATGACGTAGATCATGGTTCACCATGCGCATTATGAATTTGGTTCAGATTGAGTATTTACAGATGCATATAGTGGATGCATGATATAATTTGAAAAATGATGGATCAGATCTGCACGCTTTAACTACAAGAGTTCTTTAGCTATCTGATTGTCTATAGTAAATCACAGCGCGTCAGCGCCACGTCTCAAATCGAGTAGAAGTTGAACTCGGTCGACGCCCATCAAAAAATATTAAGTATGTTTCTAGCAAATTAAATGCCAAACTATATGTATATGAATTGATCAAGTTGAGTAAATTAATGAAGGTCATGACAATATCTAGTAAATATAATGTTTGTTTTGAGTTGCATTTATTGAACGTTATAAGTGGAGTAAAATATTTTTTTTAAGTCTTTAAATTCAAATAAAAGATAGAATGGAGCAAAAGGCGCTCACCTAGCTGGCTGCCTGGCTAGGTGAAAACTTCCAAAGCTAGTAAGGGGATATAAATACATTAGAACTAGAAGTGTCTGCAATACCTATGGAGCATTAATATTACACCTAGGGTAGTTATGAGGGAAGTAAATGTTAAAGGAGAATAAAAAATAAGATGGACAAGTCTTATTTTGTGACTTTTTTTTTCTTTAAGTACTACTGAGTTAGTGAATAGTCTCTTCAATTTTTTTTTTTAATGAGTTAATTCCAATCGAGATCTTTTGTCTTTGGTAAAAATTTTATATTTAGTCTCAGACAATTGATTTTAACATTTAACAAATTAGGTTATCATATTTTGGACACTTTTTGATCATTTCGGTGATTTTTTTTTTTTTTTCTGTGGAACTCTATTTTAGGCAATGATATTTTCGTCTTTTCAAAAAAAAAAAAATTCAATTTTTTTTTATCCTTTTCCGATTTGCATATCTTTAACCGTGGATTGCACCATCTCCTTCCCTCGACTCTTGTCTTCATCTCCTTCAACTCGACCCCAATTGTCCTTCATCAATGGTGATACCGAGTACGTGAGGACCTCCGGGTGCGGGAGACCCATGTTGCAACGCAGTTGGAAATTAAAGTTCAGGATGTCGCCACCTGGTTGGCTTTGGTCTGACCGCTATTGTTTTAATCCATGATTTTGTGAATTATCTACTATAGTTGTAGAGCCCCCCCCCCCCCCCCCCCCCCCCCCAAAAAAAAAAAAAAAAAAAGAACTCTTCTTTGTCATCAAAAATATACCCTTCCTAAAATATGGTATCACCAGAAAAAAAAAAAAAAAAAAAAAAAAGTCATTAGAAAAAACAAAAGTATCCAAAATATAACAGTTTAGAGTCTTAAATGACAAAAACGATTATTTGTGACTAAATTTTGAATTGTCACAAAAGAAAATAGACCTCCGTTGAAATTAACTAATTTAAAATAGTACTTTAGCAGAAAAGTTATCAAAAGGACTAAAAGTGTCCAAAATATAATAGTCTGAAGCGTTAAATGACAAAAACGATAAACTAATACTAAATTTGAAATTGTCACAAAAAAATAATAGACCTCTAATAGAATTAAGTCAAATATGAAAGATAAGTAGTACATTTAATGGTTTATGTGGATCGTCATTACTTTTATATAACCTCCCTATTAATCAATTTTAAAGGCAAGTTAGATATTGGGTGTAATTTGCATGTTTTGTCACTATAGACCTAGGTTGGTAAGAGTTAGACTTCTAAGATTGAGTCACAACAAATGTTCATATTCCCTTCAAGATTAAAAATGTTATTATTATACTTGTGTAGTTATGATAAAAGTAAATGTAAAAGGAAAAGAAGAAATATGATGACCTGCAAGGCCATTCTATGAGTTATGTGGATCGTCATTAATTTTATGTAAACTCTTTATTGATCACTTTTAACTGTGGTGGAATTAGTTGTGCATATTTTGTCATTTGTCTCACTATAGACCGAGGTTGGAGTGTTGAGCCTAACCCAATTGAATTATGCAATGTAATTAAAAATTATTAATGTTATTAAATTTCATAGATAAAAACGAGATATGAGATTGTTCTCTTTGAAATTTCAAATATTTTAATTATGTAACTTTTCATTCTATCACTGCAATGCAACCTGTAAATTTAAAAAATGAATGAGAAAAAATAAATTGAATTTTAGTTTAATATGCACTTATGGAAAAAATATATATATCAACCTATCATCCCAACTTTCAGGATCATGCCCTGGAGGATTTGTACCAAATCACAAAAATCTTTTCACTTGCAGCATTAGCCTTTCCAGGCTTTTTTGCCTGTTCTATAGTAAATGCTTTGTCAAGTTTATTTTGATTGTGAATAAAATGATATGTTCTTGAAGGCCCTTCAGAACACAATAATAAGCAAAGACTGCAACAGAAAAACAGTTCTTAAGGTAATCCAGATAGATTCAGCCTGAGCAATTAAAGCTAACAATAGTAAAAGACAATTGATTTATTTACATGCACACCATGGCCAGTGCATAGAAAACTATGCTTCAAGAATTAGCACCAATGTAATACTGAAAACTTATCACATCATAATGTATAGTCATGGAGTATTATTTGCAAGCTAGGATCAAAAGTAGAAGCATTTGATTTCTCTTATAGACATACACAACTAAAACAAATGGATTATTGGCAGCACAATGAGGAAAGGGCAAAGGAAACGTACAAGAAAAAAAGACAAGAATATTCAAATGATATAGCTCCAGTGATTTTGAGGAAAGATCAGAAGACTTCAGAAAGGAAAATGAATAATTTAAAGATTTTATGAGGGGAATATATGGACAATGATGCGCTCAATGCTATCAGAGGAGATAGCTTAGCAATTATTCCAGAACGAGCCTCATTATTTCCAACCATAAAAGAAATGAGAACATCACTCTAGAATCACGCTGTCTATTACAATAATATCAAATTTGAAATGAGATTGGCTAGAGTCTCAGGCGTTGAGATTTGAACTCATGACCTTTGGTCTAGCTCTAATACCAAATTAAAGCATTTGCTCTATCTCAACTAAAAGCCTAAGCTGATAGTTGAATTGCACATTAATGGCTATATGCTCAACAATCATAATTCAAATCTTTGCAAACTTCTATAGTCTGTAATGTGTGATATCAAAGTGGTACTTATCAAAAAAAATTCTCAGACACCAAAATTGGATGAGACTATTCCAAAAATAAAAGTAAAAATTGCAAGATAGGATGAAGACCTTTTCGTGTATAAAGACGAGCACAAAGCCTTTGACTATCATCTGAAAGTGATTAAGAAGTTTTCTGTTGACACAAATTGAATAAAGCATTAACATAAGTTTGGAAGCATATTAAATGTTATTAACTTGAAAACGAAAATACTGTACTTACATACCCAAGAAAGTCTTCTCCGCATCCATAAAAAGGTGATGATTATTCTTTAGGACTTCTGTTAGCAAAACCTGGAGGTTATGCTGATATTTTGCACTACCAGGAGGATGAGCCCTTGCATATTGAGCAACACAGAGAGCATTTTTCCAGGAGGACTTGAGAAATTGAAAATTTTAAAATTTTGAAAATAACATCTGGTCATTATCATCATTACTCTCTGAAAAACTGAAAAAAACTCCTTGAAAATATCATGTGGTTCTTAATAAGTTCTAACTATAGATGAAAGAAGCAGAGTTTGCAACATAATCCCAACATGAAAAAGAGTACATAAAACATGAATGTAAAATAAGGAGACTAAACTACTGCGTTCCTTACAACTGAAATACGGAGTTTTACATTACGGCGGCCTCCTTGAGTAGTTTCACGACCTGAATCATGGTAGGTCGTTTGCAGGGGTCATCATGGGTGCACGACCGCGCAATGCGAAGAACGCGCAACATTTCACCCTTGCCGCACGAAGAAGCCGATAATAATAAGCAAGGGTCCAACGCCTCACGTTCCCTCCCTTTCGCCACCATCCACCGAACCCAACCAACCAGGTTGCCTCCCTCCCCGTCGGCCTGCCCCGTCGGGGCACGCCCCGTCACCAGCTCCAGCATTACCACCCCGAAGCTGTACACATCGCCTTTAGCCGTGGCCACCATCGCCTGCCCGTATTCCGGCGGTATATACCCGAAGGTGCCGGCCAGGGCGGTGCTGACGTGGCTCTCGCACGCGCTTATGATCCTCGCCAGCCCGAAATCCGACACCCGGGGTTGGAACTTGTTGTTTAGTAGAATGTTGCTGGATTTGATGTCTCTATGGATTATGTGCGGGATGAAACCGTGGTGTAGAAAGGCCAGCCCCCGGGCTGACCCGAGACAAATCGTGAACCGGGTTGGCCAGCTGAGCCGAACCGTAGCATGATCCGGTTTGTTCCTTAGCCAAGATTCCAGGCTGCCATTCTCCATGAAGTCATAAATCAAAAACCTCTCATCTTCAAACGCGCAATAGCCAACCAATGGCACCAGATTTTCGTGCTTTACCTTTCCGAGAGTTTCCATTTCTGCAAAGAATTCCCGGTCTCCATGGATCTCCCGGCCTCCATAGAGCCTCTTGACCGCGATAACTCGGCCCCCTGGCAGTTTTCCTTTGTATACTGTCCCGAAGCCGCCATTGCCAATGATATAGCTCCGGCTAAAGTTGTCCGTGGCGGACACGATAGCTGCGTGCTTGAGCCTCAATAGAGTGTGTTCAAACGCTGCGATGTTGATGCTAAGAGGCTCCTTTGTCTGAAGCTGATGATTATCGGTATAGGAAGTAGGGTGATCTGTTCTCTTAGCACTGTCAGTACCCCTGTCCATAAGTAGGGCTTTTTGTTTCCAAAGTTTGAATGAAAGAATTGCGATTATCACGGCGAACACAAAGAGAGGTGTGGCAAGAGATATTACCACCACAAATGTACGGTTTGAAGGAAATGCAGGTGCACAGCTGCTGCGAGGTTGGAAAAATGGAGGCCGTTCTTGTAATAAGCAATACAGGCTAGGTGCTGTGCAGCTTAGAGGCACTTCACCTGTGAATTTGTTGGCTGAGAAATTTGTAAAAGTAAGGCCGTTTATGTTACAGATATCACAAGGGAAAGAACCTTGGAAATCATTCTTGGAAATGTCCAGATATGTCAATGCAGAAAGGGCGGGAAGGGAAGGGGGCAAAGTGCTGGTGAGGGTGTTGTTGTGTAGATCTAACCGGGAAAGAGATGTGAGATTGGAGATCGATGGGTCGAGAGGTCCGGAGAACTTGTTGTTGCTGGCGTTGAGAGATAACAAGGAGCTAGAGAGTCCAGTATGGATGGAGAGGGAGCCTGAGAAATTGTTTAAGCTGATATCCAGATATGTTAAGCTTTCAATGCTAAAAATAGAAGATGGCAGGGGACCTGTGAACCAGTTATTTGAGATGTCCAGCATGACTAGGCCCGTCTTCGTTGATCTGAGATTCTCAGGAATCGAGCCAGAAATGGTGTTGTGGGAAAGAGACAGGCCTTGAAGATTCTTCATGAAGAACAATTGAGGGATGAATGGACCTGCTAAGAAATTGAAAGACAAATCCAGGGTTGTTAGATACTGGAGGCCCGAGATTTCGATTGGAATAGTGCCCGTTAGCTTGTTTCTTTGCAGCAGTAGCTCTTTGACAACAGTGCATTGCTGAATGGATGTAGGAATGGATCCAATAAGTTGATTGTTGGAAAGGTCAAGTTTACCATAGTGCTGGATGAATTCGGAGTCGGGTAAAGGCATGTGTTGGAACCCATCACAGAGTTCATCTGGTATGGAGCCTGAGAATTGGTTGTCGGAGAGAACCAACGTGACAACATCTTTCAACTGAGATATAAACCTGGGAATCTGACCTGAAAACCTGTTTGCACCGAGGTCCAAAGACACCAGCTTTGTGCATTCGAAAAGCTCCAAGGGAATCTCTCCTGCCAACTTGTTTCCATGTAAAGAAAGATTTGTCAAATTCTTTAAACTCCCAATGGTCCTTGGAATATTCCCTTGGAAAAGGTTGTTGTCGAGGCGCAGCCTCTTCAGTGATGGAAGCATAGCCATTTTGTCTGAAAGCCGGCCTTCGAGCATGTTGTTGCTTAGAGAGATCTCCACTAATGTTCTTGACTCCCATAGTTGATCTGGAATGGTTCCAGAGAAGTTGTTTCTGGAGAGTTCCAGGGTGAGAAGTTGAAGCTGGGCTAGGTATGGAGGGATCTCACCAGAAAGATCATTTTTGCACAAATCCAACTCTCTGAGGCTTGAACAGTTTCTGAAAGTATTCTCAATGGTACCTGAGAAATTATTGCCAGATAACCAAAGGGTATTCAGTGATTTGGCATTGCAAATTTCTGCAGGCAAGGCACCAGAAAGAAAATTGCCTGTTACATGAAGGAAGGATAGATAAGGCAGATTCAGAGGAGGAAAAGTCCCAGTTAGGAGATTGTTTGATAACATTATTGATTCTACATGAGTCCAATTGGAAATCCAAACAGGCAAGGGGCCTGAGATCTGATTCCCATCAAGAACCAGTGTAATTAATGACTCTAACCCTGCAAGGCTGGTGGGCAATGGACCAACAAATGAGTTAAAGGACAGGTTTATGACCTCGAGCCTCGTGCAGTTTCCTAATTCAGAGGGTATTCTTCCACTCAGCCCTGAATTTGGCGCGATAAGTTGAGCAAGGTTTCTTAGCCTGCCTATGCCTGAAGGAAGTTCACCTTCAAACTCATTATGTGCAAAGTTCAATTCAATCAAGCTACTTAGCTCAGAAATTTCTTCCGGGAGCTTTCCTGTGAACTTGCAGTATTGCAGATCAATAGTCTCGAGATTTTGCAGATTCCCAATTGTTGCAGGTAGAGGTCCAGTCAGCATGTTCCATGCAAGATACAGACTTCTAAGCTTCCTCCAGTTTCCAATCTCGGGAAACAGAAGCCCAGTAAAATTGTTGAGGCGGGCGTTGATGTAGAGAACCTCTGTCAGATTACCCAGACTTGAAGGCAGATTCCCGGAGAAGAAATTCTTACTAAGATCCAGGGCCACCAACTTCCCCAGATTCCCAATCTCCTCAGGAAGTTCTCCTGAAAACGAATTTCTATGAAGAGAGAGTTCCCGAAGCTCTTTAAGTTCACCAATCGTTGATGGTAGACTACCCGAAAAGTCATTCCTGTCGAGCACAAGTACTCTCAGGCTTCGCAGGCCAGAAATAGCCGATGGAAGCATCCCATTTAGCCTGTTGCCACCCAAGTTCAGAACTTCAAGATTCTCCAGACTCCATAAGTTTGGAGATACAGCACCATTTAGGCCACATCTGCTGAGGTTTAGGTGCTCGAGGGACCTGAATTGTCCAATGCAGTCTGGAAATGGAAGACTCAGAGGGTGATGCATACATGGTAAATCAATCTCTATCACTCTCCCAGCATCACAACCAATCCCAGTCCAATTACAAGGAGAAATATTCGAGTCAAACCAACCCGGGATGGCATATCCACTATCAGCAAGGGAGTTCCTTAGAACTTTCAGTAACTCAATGTCATCTAGAGAAGTTCCAGCCATGAAGCCCGAGGGCATAATCCATAGCACAATCATCATCATTAGTACACGAGAACACTTCCATATCGCTGACATTTTCAGAGCTCAGTTTAGAACATCAGTTGATTGAAATCTGAAATAAACTATAAATGAAATCAGAACAGAAAAGCCTTCAATTGGAAAACAAAACCAAAGTCCAACCTTAAAAGGCAACAAAAACATAGAAATGCAGGTTAAGAAGTGCTTGTTTCCATTTAAGAATGTCCACCAAAACACCGTAATTAACTAATTAGCAGAACAGACTGATCATAACAAAACTTGACAGATCACAGATGTATATAAATGGACTACAGAGAAAACTACCTGAATCAACTCAAAATCTAATCTAAAGCGCGCTTGAACCTTAGTTTTTTACCATTTATGACGGAGTGATTAACCAGAAAGAAAGTAGATAGTTATACCTTAGGTTCATGTAGGAGACCAGACTAGCAACCTCCAGAAACAGCTTACAGGTTGCTGTGCGTCATGATCTCTAGCTGCAACGGAGTAGAAAGCTCGTTACTTATAAAAGAAGAAAATGCAAACAAGATTGTAGCATTCTAGATATGGAAGATATGATTGACGGACACACTAAATTTGTGATGGAGTACGTTAAAGAAAACGGAAGGAGAGGAGGGCTTGTATGGAAAATGTGAAGTGTTTGAATAGCCAAAATAGGAACGGTTATAAGGAGTGTATAATTAGAAGTTCCATTACCACTGTTTGCGTTCAAACGCGTAATCTGCTTATATGGACTGTTACTTTTTATGTATGTATGTAATCTAGTCTGGATTCAGCATTGTGCCTTTAACTCCTTTTTCTCCATATTATTCAGCAATCAGGACAATTCTTGACTTGCACCGTATGATGCAAATATTATTGATTACACCTCCATACCTAAATTGGTTGGGAATAAAACAAAGAATTCCACATAATGAACCCCTTACAGTTAGCTATTTTGTCCTTATCGAAAATAAATACTCATTTTATATATAATTTGTGAAAACTGTTCTCAAAATCATTTATCTTTAGTACAACACAACAATTCAAACTATTTGTTTGTCCGAGTAAACAATATATGTATTCAAAGGGGTGTGGCAAGCAGCATCTGTTTAGCTATACTGCAGCCTCACTTACTTTGCAGACCTCAACATTGAAGCCACAGTCCGTCAAAAATAGTAACCAAGCACGCTGTTGTTCTGAAAGTCTATCTCTTGGGCCTTTCACTTCAACGAGTTTTGCTTCACCTCTGTAATTGTCATGGAAGCGCCACAGTAATAAGTCGGGCATTCCACTAGACCAACTCCGATAATCTTGAGCTAGATGTCGGCAGATTGATGCAGTGCAAGAGCCTCCAATGCATGCAACAGCTGCTCTTAGTTCGGATAGAGAATGCCTGTCCCAGCTGACTCCCCTGCAGGCTGTCCCTTTATGTAATTCCCATGAAGTGATAAGTATCTCTTCTGCCATGCCGTGCTGAATCTTATCTAAGAGTGCTTCTATCTGGCTCTTTCTGACCTCATAGAAGCTATCAGTTTCCAAATCCAATGGTGCTGTCTGAGAAAGATGGACTACATATCTCAGAAAGTTCCATAGTAACATGAATACAGGAAAATAAAATATTTATACTAACAGTAAAAATTGAACAACCAAAAGATGGAATTTAATCCAATCATGTTTTGGCTTCCAAATCATGTCATGTTATCAACTTCAAAACAATGAACCACTCAACAAACGAAGAACTTTTATTGCCAACTGCCCAGTCTCTCTATTTGCAACCCCCTTTAAAAGCAACCTCATAGTGTGTTCCATCAGAGTATTGAGTTTCTAAATTCTACTAGCCCAAAAATAAATTTAAAAAAATAAAAATTCTTTAACCTAATAGGCTCATCAGATTGTTTAACTAAGTCATGACCCTGAATTCATATAAGCACACAAAGTACAAATCCACAAATTTGGTTACTGGAAAGAGATAACACCTGAAACTTAGTGCAAAAGACATTTGGAATATCAGCAAAGATGACATCCCACATTAGAAGCCCAAAAAGGGTTAACCAAATGCCACTTTCTGTATGAACACCCTGCCAGCCACCTCCCTCTCCAGCATAATATTGGAGAGCAAGTTGTTCTACCCCACACTGTTCACCATCTTCACCATAAAATATACTCTTCACCCCCATCTTGCAGTTCAGTGGTCTGCCTTGAACGTGGACCTAAAATAATTGGCTGAAAATATTAACCCCCTAAAACTATTTTTAGATGTCTCCTAAGACAACAATTAGATTGTCAAAATGCATGACTCAAAGCAACTAGTGGAGAATTTACCTCAGCAATCTTCCTTTTTAGAGATTTCGAATAGCTTGGTGTTTTCCAGCGCCTAGGGGGCTTACCCAATCTTAGAACCCGCCGCTGCAGGGCCAATTTTGAGCCAGCACGGACCCATGGATCCAGTAGACCATCTTCAGCAACTTGAAGGCTCTCATCAAGACATCCAACATGCTCCAGATCAATTGAAAGCCTGAGAGTCCAATATCCCCTTCTTCTATCATTTCTGAAGCTATCTAGCAGTTTCCTGAGCAAAATGATTGCATCATTGTACCTAGCCAAGTAAGACATAGTTAGATACAAATAGCACAAGAAGCTGAATTTCGAGTAGAAATATACATTAAGGTTTTTGCCCTGGTATGTGATATAAGGCACACTTCACTCGTGCATTATTGTTCAATTCCTGGAACTGCCAATTGAAAATATCAAGGTGTTCCACCAGAAAGGGCCTCAATAAATATACACAGCATCATTGAACCATTGTTATACAAATGGTGACTTGATGACAAATCATATTTTCTAACATTTTAACTAGGATAAATATATCTGATCACTTGACAAATTCATAAAATAAAGTTACCACGGTGTCCAAACTACATACCTCCTCTCATGCTCAAGAAAAGAAGTGCCTAACAAGACCACCTTAGAGTAGACAAACACAGCTGTGAAGCAAGACAAATATGCAGCCATCACTCCTGAACTTGATAGCTCCTCTTCCTTTAAAGAGCTTGAAATTTGAGAGGCGGAAACTTCTATACATTTTAACACCATCTCAGTATTATTGTCATCAAGACATTCGTCCATAATTTGGGCAACCTCAATGGCCTGTCACAGTAATTTTCAGATTAGATAAAGAAAAATATTGCTGATCAAAACATACCAAACATACCATTTCGTAAGAAAGCAGTTGACTTCTGTTTGGAAAAATTTGGTTTGTGAGTATACAGTTGTAAGCGGGATACTTCACAATACCAAAGTCAACAAGTAAAAATGATGATAGATCCTGTTCTCCATTCAGGAAAAAGAGCCTCTACATAAAGTGTGGAAATCAGAAGATAATTGGTCAAGCAAGCATAATAAATTGACATTTGTAAAATTATAAGTCAACCTAAAGAAAATTTTGGAGATTACCTCTGCACGCCAAAAGAGAGACTCAGCTAATGGAGATATCTTAATACATGTTCCAATTTTCAATAAAACCAGCCTCAGGAGATCTGGGCTGCATGAATATTTTGGGGCCAAATTGTCAAAACAACATGAACAGGATCAAAGAGTGCTACATGTAACTAATCCAAGAAAGAAACATCTTACCATAAACCATCTTTATATGAAGAAAGAAGGAAAGCAATATAATCCTGCTTTCTTGTACCATGACCAAAACTTTTGGAACTCTTCCTATTTGTTTGAGCACACTGCTAAAGTCTCACAAAAAGAAAAAATACAGTTGAGACAAACACTCAAAGAAGAAACAGCATTTTAATATGGTTGTTTCACTCAAATCAGGAAAAGAAGAAGGGAATCACTTCCAGCATGAAACAGATGAAATTTAATAGCGCACACATACAAGGGACATTTAAAAAAAAAAAAAAAAGAGCAAGAGAAACATAATTTGCTTCAAAAACTTTGGGTGTTGGGAACCAGGAAAAACTTAAATTAAAGGGGAAGCTTCAAAGCCAAGGTATTCAGGCCAATCTTATTTTCCCTGAAGAAAGAAGAATATGCACTCTAAGTAATCTCAAACTATTGTTTGTGCAGTTGAAAATTTTGAAAGATCAGGCTTCCAAATATTATGATACTAGTTGTTCTAAAGAGAGGCTATAATACAGTCACATTCAAGTGCATGATCAAAATGGCTTAACAAAAGAACTAAGAAATGTGTTGGAGAGAGGTTATGGGAGGTTGGAGAGGATTGCTCCTTGCCTTAGTTTTCAAATTCAAATAGTGTGGCTCATAGGCTTAGGCAATGTATATAAATAGGTGTTCTCCAAGTACTCTTATCCATTCGCTAAATTATACACTTCAACACTCTGTGAGTTCACAAAATGTATGGCCCGTATCTGTCCACAAAGTAGGTCTCTTGCTGTGTAGTCATCAGAAGCCAATGCAATTTAGGAGCATCAACTATGGAATCTGCCAAATTTAGATAGAACCCATCCATAATGCTCCATATTATTTTTGTTTTGATAAGTATGAAGTGCTCTGCATTTATAATGGTCATAACTATAAATAGTTTTCAGTTCATGATGAAACTGAAAATAGCAGAAACCAAAATGTTTGGTGCTGCTTAGTGTGCAGGATAGATAGCATCCAAATGTAGCTGGGAGATTAGTTGGCATGGAAAATTTATACCCCCATAAACCAGGAAACTAGGGAAGGACATCAGTGAGCCTCATAAAAGTAGCATATTGTATTAAACAAACATAAAAATAAACAAATCTCAAACTTGATTGTAAAGATGTATTGTATTGGAGATTAGGAGGGAGAGGAGCAACGGATCATACAACATACAAGTAAAAATTACTAAATGAATGACAGACAATAAACTGCAGTTGTCATTTCCATATAGTATAATTGTGCACACCTTGGATGAAATTTAAGTTGTAACATTATATGTCCACGAATATGACAGACCTTATTAACCATATGCAAGAGGTCACGTAGATCACCAACATTAAGAACATTCAAGATCTCCTTGATATCAGTGGGTTCACTCATTGATTCAAATGAGGTAACATAACCTCCGGCTGTATTGAGAAGGAAAAAAAAAATTGATGACCATCACTGACATCAAGATAACAAAAGTTTATCATACAACCGTAGAATCTCTCTACCAGAAAGTCCCCTTAGTGCATCATCACAATCAGATATTTCCGCATATGATATGTTAGACATCCGAAACCATGGCCCTGAATTTAAGGGGGGGAAAGAGCAAATTCTTAAAGATGCAAATTTGCTAATACTGGCAAACTTATCATATCATAATGTAACAGTGCATAGAAAACTATGCTTCAAGAATTAGCACCAATGTAATACTGAAAACTTATCATATCATAATGTATCACAAGTCATGGAGTATTATTTGCAAGGATCAAAAGTAGAAGCATTTGATTTCTCTTATAGACATACACAACTAAAACAAATGGATTATTGGCAGCACAATGAGGAAAGGGCAAAGGAAAAGTACAAGAAAAAAGACAAGAATATTCAAATGAGATAGCTCCAGTGATTTTGAGGAAAGAAGACTTCAGAAAGGAAAATGAAGAATTTAGAGATTTTATGAAGGGAATATATGGACAAGGATGCACTCAATGCTATCAGAGGAGATAGCTTAGCAATTATTCCAGAATGAGCCTCATTATTTCCAACCATAAAAGAAACGAGAACATCACTCTAGAATCACATCGTCTATCGTCTATTAAAATGATATCAATTTATCCCTACGACCCTACTACACAAAATGGTAAATGCTGTTGATGTTTTCTTCTTTTTATAAGTATTTATCCCCAGTTGGGATGAATTTATTTCCAGATTATCTACTTCAATAAGTACTTGAATTTTTTTACCGTGTTTGGATTGGCTTAAATTAAGAGCATATGATTTTTGAAAAGTTGTCTTCAGCTTATTTCAGTAAGCAATTTCAAGGAGCTTATCAAAACAAGTTGAAAAAACAATTTCAGTTGAAATGGCAGATTCATTAAGCTGTTTGGAGCTTATTTTATTAAGGATTTTTAGAAAACGCTCACCATAAAAACGCTAGGGCCAAGTTTCATTAAGCAAGTATGCTTATTTCGTTTAGATAAGGTTATGAAAAGAGCATCTTACAACTTCTCAGAGACCAATTAAAATGGCAAGCCCTGGTGTTTTGAATTTATTTCAAATGCACTTGTCTTAAAATTGTTAATTGGTTATCCAAACTGGTCCTTACTCACACAAAGAGCAGCAAAACAGGTTCCCAATAAGCATTGCAAAAGTCAAATTTGAAATGAGATTTTGTTGATGAAATTGGCTACAGTTCCTCATTTCACAAGAACGCAGAACATTTGGCTTGCAAAAATGCAAAGCAGAACATCATAATTCAAATCTTTGCAAACTTCTATAGTATGTAATGTGTGATATCAAAGTGGTACTTATCAAAAAAATAAAAAAAAATCTCACTAAAATAGGGCAGACACCAAAATTGGATGAGACTATTCCAAAAATAAATGTAAAAATTGCAAGATAGGATGAAGACCTTTTCGTGTATAAAGACGAGCAAAAAGCCTTTGACTATCATCTGAAAGTGATAAGAAGTTTTCTGTTGACACAAATTGAATAAAGCATTAACAGAAGTTTGGAAGCATATCAAATGTTATTAACTTGAAAACGAAAATAATGTACTTACATACCCAAAAAAGTCTTCTCCTCATCCATAAAAAGGTGATGATTATTCTTTAGGACTTCTGTTAGCAAAACCTGGAGGTTATGCTGATATTTTGCACTACCAGGAGGATGAGCCCTTGCATATTGAGCAACACATAGAGCATTTTTCCAGGAGGACTTGAGAAATTGAACATCATTGCAATCTATTTCACCAAAAGATTTATTGCATGGACAAGTTATTTGAATTGGGACCACAGCACGAGGATGTTTTGGAACAGAAGTTATGTGGCCCTGTCAAATATCTATCAGTGAAAAGTAAAGTACAAGAAATTTTTTAGATCAAGTGAAGTTGGAGGTCCAATTGATATGATTTGCAGCATGGATGGATCTTTTGAAAACAAGGTATTAGTCACTCCATACTTATAGGTTATAACTCATTTTATATTTAGTTAAAATGTTATATTAGTTGTTCATAGGATATCATGCATGTCCAAGTCACCATTAATTGTTGGAAAACATGTTGAGAATAGATAATCAATAGGGTTTAATGTGAATCCAGCTACTATAGAAATATTTGTATCAGCATACAAGTTAATTTGTGTATTCAATTGCACTTGTTGGTAGTACCTCAAATCTCAAGTCAAACTTTTCAATCAAAGGAGATAGGTAAAGAGCTATTTCACGGGGAAGAAAACCAACTGGCTGATCATATCCAGAATCTGTAGAAAGCACCTGCTTCAAAGGCAAGGGAAAGTTTTTTTAAGTACATAAATCACATAGGTTGATCAATTAATAGAAAGAAAAAAGAAAAAAAAAATACAATGAGGATTGACCTTAATTGCATTTGGATCCTTGTCATTATCAGGGTCTCTTGACAGCAGTATGCTTGCCCCAAGTTCTAACTCTGTTTCTTCAACAAACCTACGGCCAACTATGTAGGTATCAAGAGAAAGTTCGGATAAGTCATCACCATTTGCAGACTCAACCATATCATGCATACACGTCTCATGTTCTGAAAGCAACGAAGGATAACTATAGTTGCCATTGATCTTGTCATCATTCATTTGATTTTCTGTACAACCTGCTAGAGTCTTGGTGTCCGAGGAAGGTGATTCATCAATGCATCTTGTAAAATCATATAATTTAGCCGACTCAAAAGCAGTGTTGCAAGGAGTACTGCTCTCTAGCTTGCATAGAGCTTGGTCACGATTTTCAAGATCATCTAAGTCACCCAGCCTAGGAATGGTATCACAAACACTACTATGGTCTCTATTTTGAACACTGGTTGTCTCTGTACAATCTGAACTGTTAGCCTGATATTTATCTTTTGAGCAAAAGTTCAATTGAAGGAGGGTACGTTGGCTCAACTTGCGCTTTGTTCCTCTGGCAAGACACTTATCTGAAAAAACATTGAAAGTAATCAGAAAAATCCTAGTTCAGATGAAAAGAAACATTAAGCATGATAAAAGAGCAACAAAGAGTTTCTTTTCACTAACAACTTATCAAGGCCTCTTCAACAGTTCTATTTGAGTTTTCTTCTCATGAACAAGTAAAATAAAGCACTTAACTAGTAAAAGTAGAATTTTGCAAACAAATTTCTTTGCTTTTTACTCTCCCTCAGAAAATCTCTGAACTACTGAAAGTGCAGTCAGGAAATACAAAAAAAGAAGTCTAGAGTCCCAATAACTACTACTCCTTAGAAATTAGTAATGCTTTAGTATTAATCAGCTGATGCTCCTTTAAGAATTAGATCTTGAGCAATAATACTTACCTTCCCCAATTAACCCATTCATCAGAATTCACTAAGTGAAACACCACCTTAACAACTATTTTGGATTTTGTGTACACTCATGATTATGATTTTTCCTTCCATTCCACACTAAGCTTTGCATTGCCTATAAAAGTAGTCTAGCAATACCATATATCAAAGTTTGCAGTAATCTATTAAAACAGTCAACGACAAAACTAATAAACATAGCAAAATTGAATATCAATATACATCTATGTGTGCGTGCATAGTAGGAGTATAGAACCTAAATGCAAATTGATAACGTGATCATCGCCAAGAACTCTAGCTCCACAAACCGGGCAATTAACCCATTCCGTGCCACTATTCCCACTTTCATTTCCATTCCCACCGCTTTGCTGTTGATGCTGCTCAGATTCAGAACCATCGCCTCTCTTGCTCTCACTCAAGAAACCCTGCATCAAATAAATTTTCTTAAGATGCCATATCAGCGCACATAAATCTGTATGTATGTGTACCTGAGCGGCGGGTGAGGAGAGAATGTAGTTGCGATTAGGGAGAAACCGGCGGCGTCTGCCTATCAGTCTTGTGAGGCTTTCACGGCCTGTTAGCATTGCGATGAAATTAAGATTTGTATCACATGAGCCCTACTATATAGGCGCGCCCTCGTTGAGTCGTTTCCAGAGCGCGCGCGCGCAAACACAACCCGCCAAATACATCCATGTTTTTCGCAGTTTCTTCTTTAAATGCTTATTTTTGTTCATTTACAAATAACGTTGACTTAACTTGTACTCTCTTTGTTTTCATTGCTATTTATATGATGTGAGCCCTATCTGGTATTTGGTTGGTAACATAGATAAGTTAATTTTAGGTTGTTTTACTAGTCAATATGCTATTTTTTTTTTTGAATGCTACTGACTCTATTACATTGTAATATATGTTCAAATATATTTTCTCAATCTAATGAAGCATAAAGAGTCAACAATCTCATGACCTTCACATGAGAGAGGTTACTACATGACATCTGAGCACAAGGTGTTTAACGGTCAATGTGCTATCTAAGTGTTTCGTAAATATTTTATTGGATGATACGTCAAATTCTACTATTTTAAAAACTAGGATAGTGAGTTTTTATCAAATGTGAATGAGGAAATTATGAGTTTGAGTTCATCCTACAAATTTGGAGATTTTGTCATATTAAAAATAAAATAAAATAAAAAAACATAAAGTGAGACGCGACCAACCAACTGGTGCATTTCAGAGCCAATTGGCGACCACTCTGAAATGTAATCAAGTCTTTGTTTTATTTGTATTTTTTCCAATTCAAGAACGGCCAATTCTTGTGTTTTTTTAATATTTAATTTAACATACACTATTATTAAATTTATTATTTTTTATTTATTATATTCATAATTATCAATTAAATTAGATTTTCATAATTATCAATAATATTATTATTAAATTTATAATTATCAATAATATTTGAACAATTTTATAATTATAATTACGATTATTATTTAAAAAATGATTATAAATAATTAATATATGTGATAGTAAAAGGGTGAGTCCACAAAAAACTGAAAAAAAAAAAATTCAAACTAATGTGGAGAATGGTTTTGTAATCGAGTGAGATAGTGGATGATGAGCGGGATGTTTAGGCCCACAAAAACTTTAAAAAAAATCCCACACTATTGAAGATCGCAAATTATGCCCTGAAAACGTGTTCACCACATGCTGAACACGGGCCCAAACGACGTTATTTTTACGGAAAAAAAAACATAGTTAATGTGTTGTTAACGGCATTTTGCATTTTATGTTCAGATTATGAATTTACATTTATTAAATTATGAATTTTCTGTTATGAGATTATGAATTTACATTTATTAAATTATAAATTTTCTGTTATGAGATTATGAATTTACAGTTATGTAATTATGAATTTTCTGTAAATTCATAATCTCATAACAAAAAATTCATAATTCTATAACAAAAAATTCATAATCTCATAAAATAATATTCATAAATTCATCACTGCACATTCATAAATCTATGTATGCACATTCATAATTTATGAGTGTTGAAGAAGCTTGCGCGAAGAGGAAGTGAAACCGCGAAATGTGAAAATGAAGAAGAAAAGTCGCGATGTTAATTAAGAGAGATAACAATAAATAAATAAAAATAATAATAATAATAATAAATAATAAAAAATAAAAATAGCGGTGCTGTTACCGTTGGGACCGTGTTCACCATGGATGGTGAACACGATTTCATGGCATATCGATTGATTGAAGATACCCTAAAAAGAGTATAATTTTTAGTTAACTAATTGACATTAATTATGAAATTACCATTTTACCTTTGTCATCCATAACCGTTATATCCCTCTTGTTATTTTTCATTTTTCTTGCCCTTTTTTCTTTTTGTTTATGTAACAACATTAATAATTTTCATTTTTATTTCACTCATCATTGTAATCTATGATAATAACAATAATAAATATTGTAAAAATAATTTAAGAGTTAATAAATTAGTACAATATGTCTATGTCTTTATATGTCAGTTTACACACAATCAGCTACAAATCAACAATTAATTAATCAAACAGTTTTTTACAACTATCTAATAGTATTCAAGTATTAGCTAGTCAAATCATCTATCAACTATCAGCTAACTTAATAAGTTATCCGTTATCATCTATTAGCTATTTGTCAAACATCCCGCAAATACGTGATGAATAACTTTTCAATTAAAAATAGGGAAAAGGGTCAAATAGACCCTTAAACTATAGGCAAAAGAGCAATTAGGCCCATCAACTTTGACAAGGTGCAATTAGGCCCTTCAACTTGTTATTTTGAGTCAAATAACCCCAATAGCAGTTTTTTCACCTGGAATAACCGGTCAAAAAATTCCGGCGATATTTCCGGCGACAACAAATAAAAATAAAAAAATAAAAATAAAAAAAAGAACTTGCCGTTCGGTTGTCTTCTCCACTGGAGAAGGTGACCAGATCAGGTTGCCTGGTCGCCTTCTCCACTGGAGAGGTCGACCAAACTGGTCGTCCTCTCCAATGGAGAAGGCAACTTGATCTGGTCGCCTTCTCCGGCAAGTTGTTGTTTTTTTTTTTTTTTTGTTGTCGTCGGAAATATCGCCTGAATTTTTGACCGATTATTCCAGGTGAAAAACCTGCTATTGGGTTTATTTGACTCAAAATAACAAATTGAAGGGCCTAATTGCACATTTTCAAAGTTGAAGGGCCTAATTGCTCTTTTGCCTATAGTTTAAGAGTCTATTTAACCCTTTTCTCTTAAAAATAATAACAAAACTCTATTGATGGCATTCTAGATTGGGGTTAGAGTGTGTGTTACGCTATGTAGATGCATAAATAATTACTAACAAAGTACAATAATGACAATTTAAAGCCAATTACAACATGGTATTGTTGTTATACTATCTTGAGCGGACGCAATAATAAGCTAAGTACAATTAGTAAATAAGAGATGTTTATCAAATGAGAGTGTGTAGATTATCCAAATAATAAATGATGAAGAGTTACTTAGGTGTATTTCGTTTGAATATGGAAATTAGAATTGGAATATGAATCAAATACATGGTAATTGAAATGAGTTTAGTTAATATATTTTGCATGTTTAGTAGTAGGGTAAAATTAAAATGATTAGATATTTGGTTATGCATGTATGACTATATAATCATAATAAATGTTAAAACAAAATACAAAATACAAAAAAAAAAAAAAAAAAAAAAAAAGACACTGACCCTTAAAATTGAGTAAGTGACGATGAATTTGAGTAAACAATGCAGTAAGGAAGTCGATGAAGTGAGGATGTCATGAAATTATGAAGGATAAAGATTAATTAATGAAATGATACGTGATTTAAATTATGTAATGAGTATTGAAATTATATGAATAGTCAAATCATATACATGCGTTTAAAAAAAGTTTTCAACCAAACAATATGTATGACTTTCATTTTCACATATTGTATCTAAGTAACCACATGAACCAAATACACAATTATATTGTAATGATTCTCATATGCTATTGTGACGTGCTACAAGTGGGGGCTAACATGGCATCTAGTTGTCTCTCATAGTCAATTGATTATGTGGTTAGAGCATCCACACTTGTGGATATTGTGGGGAGAATTCAGAATTAAATCTTCCCTTCATGAGATAATAGCTAGTGTGGACATGAGATAATTGAAAAATAATCTCCCTGCAAATGTAGGGAGATTGTCAGAAAAAAAAAAAAAAAAAAAAAAAAAAGAGAAAGAAGAAGAAGCAAGGCTGTGCGCGTTCGCGCACAGCCTTGGGCAAAAGCCGGGCGCGTGCACTGCACGCGCCCGGAGGCGCGTCAGGCGCGCCTGACGCGTCTGACTACTTTCTTTTTTTTTTTAATTTTTTTGTTTGTTTTGTTTTTTCTTTTTTTTTTTTCTCTCCTCTCCCACACTCTCTTTCCTAATCACTCTTACATTATCTCCCCATTCTTCCCAACCAATGTGGATGCTCTTATTAGTCTCAAACAACTATGACAACCTATGTCTCTAGTGTTATGGAGTAAGTCAGCTAAATTGACACTTGTAAGGTATGTTGAGGTAATTTAGGGGCCGTTTGGTTCAGGTTATATAACATAACCAAGGGAATGTGACATTCCAAAGCTCACATACCTATGTTTGGTTCACATTATCTCAGGGAATCTAACATTCCCCAGGAATGTCACATTCCCTCCACATAGGATTTTGAAGGGAATGTGATTCCCTTCAATTTCTAAGGTTATGTAGGATAACCTTGGTTATGTTAGTTTATTACACACACACACACACACACACACACACACACACACACACACACACACACACATATATATATATATATATATATATATATATATATATATATAATTATTTTTGTAATTATATGTTTTTTATTTTTATTATGTTAGGTTAGCATATAAAATAATTTTGTTTCTCAAGTTCAATATTTTAGTTAATATTTTAAAATCATGTAATTATATATGATACCGTTATCTTATTTATTTATTTTAATTTTTAAATTTATTAAAATATATGAAAATATGTTAAGGATATTATAGTGTGTGAATAAAAGATAACCCTAAACCAAAAATGACTATATTACATACCCCAATTTTAACCAAACACAGAAATCTAACATTCCCAGTAATCTAACATTCCCAGCAATCTAACATTCCCTAAGGTAATCTGACATTCCGTGAACCAAACGACCCCTTAGAGATTTGTAGACTAACCGAGCATGCTTATCTCTTTAGTATTGCATGTATGCGTTGCTATGTTGATCGTAAGGCAAGTTGATATGCTTCAAATATTTTTAGACCAACATGGTTATCGTATCTCCTAGATCTGGCAATTCGTGTATACGGGTCCGTTAACGGGTCGACACGAACACGATAATGTTAAACACGGACACGACACGTTATGGTTAACGGGTTCAAAATTTTAACACGAACACGATTTGTTAACGGGTTAAACGGGTTGACACGATAGACACGTTTTGTTAACAGGTTTTAAGTCGTGTCGACACGATATGACACGAAACCCGTTTAAACCCGCTTTTTTCTATTAATATATTTAAAAAACTAAAATTTAAAGTTAAGTTCTATAAGAAAAAAAAAAAAGAAATAAAAACTACCGTTGAATTCATCAAACAAACTAAAAATATTCAATTCATAACATTCATAAAAAGATAAAATTGAACACAATAAAAGTTCAAATTTCAAATTGTTGAATATCAATTAATTGGTGTAGGATCTTGGCATAATGTAGTAAATTCATCCTTAGTCATGTTCATAATATCTTTTGTAATCTCAATAATGACAATGATTCTTAGCGGGTTATAAACAGGTTTGGTAAACGGGTTCGTGTTAACGGGTTCTTAATAGGTTTAACATGTTGACCCGTTAAGACACGAAACATAACGGGTCAACCCGTTAACGACCCGGGGCACGTTAAGGCTAAATACTAACCCGTTATTTTCGTGTCCGGTTTCGTGTCGTGTTAACGGGTCGTGTCCATAATTGCCAGGTCTAGTATCTCCTTAGTATTGTGAATCTTATACTGGTTTGCCTAACTCTTGTAAACTAAGTTGAGATAACCAGAAAATTGTATGACCAACCGTTATTGAGTTAGTCAGGTATAAAATGAATCATTAAACCTACTACTCATAATATTGGGTTGTGCTATAACCTCTATCATATATGATGCCATCATGTTCATCGTAGATTTTATCAGTATTATGTGCATGCACTCCATGAAGTTAACATATTATTTATCTTTAGGTAACAAATATTGCGCTTGTTATAGTTAACATATTATATACATGTTATAAATTTATGTAAATATTGTATTTAACATATTATGTACATTCAATTTATTTACAAATACACAATATGTTATTTAAAATTATATAATATGTTAATTACAAGTACATATTACATGGTAGACTATAATCAACGGTATACTTTGTGACTTGGTTCAATCATTCTCACATAATATGTGAAATTAAATAACACACTTATAAAAACAATCATAGCATATTTTGATATGACAATTGATTTGGTAATCAACTTAGACGTCACCAAAGCGTTTTCCTTAATTTAAAATTTAAAACATTGATTTCATTGCAAGAGAGAGAATAAAAAATATAAGAACTAGTAAAATATAATTCTTGCACCGAAAGTTAATGAATATTAGAAGGAAAAATAAAATACGAAAGAAATGATAAAAATTAAGAAATACTTGTAACCTGAGAAAAAAAAAGTGTGTATTTTCTTTTATAATATATTTTTCCAAAATTGATAGAGTAAATCGTAAAAAAATATCAAATAATTTAAAATTATAAATGAGCTTCTGAAAAAAAAAAAAAAAAAAAAAGGGAGAGAAGACCGATAGCCAATTGGGAACAAAGGTCAACGCGAAAGTGACAACGCACAAGAGAAGATGGAGAAATTAGCCGTAATTTAGAAGTGTAGCAGTAAATAGAGCAGTAAATCCAGAGGGGGAGAAGACCCCGAAGAGCTGAGACAACGCGGAGATGGCGGGGTTTGAATTCCACGGCGGAAGAAGCTCCGGTTACTATGTCTGCTGCTTCGTATTGCTGCTGCTACTTATTGTTCAGAGCGTGAGTGGGGGAGGAGAAGGGGTGATCAGAGTCAATTACAAGTTTTCGGGTTCGGAGCGGACTCTGGCTGCCCTAAGCGCCCACGACGACATGCGTCATCTCCGAATTCTCGCCGGCGTCGACCTCCCCATCGGCGGCACCGGCCGCCCCGATTCTGTCGGGTACTTATTAATCCCAACCTCTCTTATAATTCTCCGCCGGTATGTATATATATGTGTGTGGGTAGTAAAGGTGCAGTTTGGTGATGTACTGCTGTTGTTTGTGCTAGAGTTGTTGTACTGATTTCTGAACCAATTACACTATTTACTCCATAGATGTAAAGCAGGCATGTTGACATGCATATATGTTTGTTCTGCACTGCGTCTCCTCCCGTATACACAATTTGGGAGGTTTACCTAATCTATCTAGGTCAAAAACTTGGAGCAGGAGCACACTGTAATACTTCTAGGCTTTATTTTGTCATCCGCTTCAGCATCAATAAAGAGAGAGAGAGAGAGTCAGTATCAAAACCATGTTCTTTCTGTGACTAAACATTTCCATTTTTCCTCTATTTGGCAGAGCATTGTTCAGTGGAGTTATGATGGGAGTTTATCTGCATATGATCTTTCCAGTGCAAGTGATTGTGTGTATGTGCATATAAAATTTGAATATCTTGTATTGTATAAAGAAGTGTACATGGACCATTTGACATGCATAAATTTTATTTGGTACTACTACTACTACTACTACATCATGCTGCATCAGTGTTAGAATCAATTTCTCTAGGAAGGTATTCCGTGCTCCAATTGTGTCAAGGACTTTGTTTTCCTAGCATCTCTTTAGTATAAGGCCTCAAGACTATCTTAAGTAATGAAAGGCTGACATGATACTTTGAATGCAAGGTTATTATTAAATATACATAGTTCTTGTAGTTCAGTAAATATTATTGAGTATTATATATCTTGTACAAATGTCTTCGTATTGCTTAGATTCCTTTCCCTTTTTGGGTTCAAATTATAAATCTTAATTTAAAATGCTTTGATTGGGAATTTTTTCAACCTCCAGGTAATTGTACAGCTCCTTCATCTCATTTGCCTTTTATTGTTTGAATGCATGGTATCACTTGATTTGATGCTTCTAGAATGGACAGAGATGGCCATTAGAGCTTCTGTGTGGACTTATTTTTTCTATGGAATTGTTTTGTAGGCTTTACTATGCCAAGATTGGAATTGGAACACCACCATTGGATTATTATGTGCAAGTGGATACAGGAAGTGACATAATGTGGGTTAATTGTATTGGATGCTCTGAGTGCCCCAGAAGAGGTTACCATGGGGTAAGTCTTTTTCCCTTATCAAAATGGTTCAGAGTCTCTGTGTTGTTTGGGCATGGGGTAGGCTTTAGTATTTTTTGATCGATTGTCCCCTTTTAATCATAACAGATGTCTTACGTGTTCTCTTTTAACAGCTGGAACTGAGCTTCTATAATCCAAAGGATTCTGTTACTGGGGAATTAGTTTTATGCAATCAGAAATTCTGTAAGGACATCACTAGTGGTTCAACGCCGAGTTGCTATGGTAATACATCTTGTTATTACACTGAACTGTACGGAGATGGAAGTTATAGCATGGGCTACTTTGTAAGGGATGTTGTACAGTATGATCAAGTCTCGGGTGATCTTCAGACTAAATCATCAAATGGAAGTGTTATTTTTGGGTGAGTTATACACTTGGCTTTGTTTATAATAAAGTAATTCTGTTGGATATAATTGTTAAGTTCTTATTAGGAGTATTCTATACTGAAGTAAATTAACCATTGCCCAAAGACCATTAACCTTTTGTCCCTTTCTCACCCGAGGCAACTTAAAGAAGACAGGAAGGGGTTTGTCATGGAGAAGAAGAATTATCTGAGAATTTGTTCCTCCATAGCGATTTTTCCTGTGATATTTGATGTGTTCTCTTCTCCCTTTTGGGTATTCACTGGATCCTTGCCATGGTTGTGGCAGAACTTGCTAATCTAGTCTTTTTGGAGAGAAAAGTACGCAAATTGAGTAGAGGGGATCTTTCACTGTGCTCACTGTTATTTTTAATAGGCATGGGGATGCTTTGTACATATTGCATCCGCTCATCTGCACCACATTGGTGCTTTATGTACTTTTATTTTTAATAGACATATAATTTTCATCTAAGAGCTTTTTCTCATTATATTTCTGCCAGCATCAACTTCCTGGGAACCCATAAGGTGCCATTGAGTTTACCTGTGAAGGAGTGATGGGGTATAGCCCTACAAAATCTAGTCGTATATTTGCTCTCTCCTTGGTGTTTGTGTTATGTTTGAAGGCATTTTATTGCACCATTTGAGTTTCAAGATGATTCAAATTTCCTACAGAGCCAATCTTTTCTTTAACCATGAAATGTGATTTTTCTCTTTATCTTTTTTAATTTTAGTTATAATTTTTTCCTATTACCACCTACTTCTTGAATCCCGTGAAACATTACCTTTGGATTTTTGGCTATCAATATTTCTTAAATTTTAAATTAATGTATATTCTAATTTGGGCTTGGTCATTTGCTAATGTGTCATTTCTCTGTTTTTTGGCAGGTGTGGTGCTACACAATCTGATGATCTGAGCTCCTCAGATGATGCACTTGATGGGGTGATTGGATTTGGGAAATCTAATTCATCCATGATTTCTCAGTTGGCTTCATCTGGTAGAGTGAAAAAAATGTTTGCACATTGCCTAGATGGCGTTAATGGTGGAGGCATTTTTGCCATTGGGCATGTTGTTCAACCAAAAGTAAACATGACACCCTTGATACCAAACCAGTATGTCAATTGTATCCCCCCCCCCCCCCCCCTCCCCACTCCTAACAGTAGGCTTATCTATGTTACTTAAATTCTATTTTTTGTTAAGTTGCATAGCATTCTCCATGAAATTTGATTTGTAATATAGTATAGCATATCCAGTAAAATAATTAGAAATATAATGCTCTTACTTGTCATTCCTTTTACTGTTGAACTATCAACATCTGATGAGAAATGAGTAGACATGGACTATAGAGTGTCTTTAGTGTGTGAGCTTAAAAATTGTTATTATACTTATTTAAGTCCGTCCTAATTGTTCAGTTGCTACTTTTTCTACTGAAAATTTTGTTTTATGAAGTTCCACCTTCTTTCTGAAAATTTTAGGTCACATTATAATGTCAACATGACAGCTATTGGGATTGGCCGTGAATTTCTGAACCTCTCATCATATGTATATACACATGGGGACAGTCAGGGAGCAATAATTGATAGTGGAACAACTTTGGCTTATCTTCCAGAAGTAATCTATGACCAACTAGTGAAAAAGGTTTGTCAATAATTTCTATATATGTGCTTACCTCATATCAAGGATAGAAGGAATTGAATGAATCTTAAAACCTTTTCATTATTGATCTTTTGTAGATACTCTCCTGGCAGCCTGATTTGAAATTACGTACTGTTAATGACGAATATACATGCTTTGAGTACTCTGACAGGTATACTATGTATTAAATTCACCCTTTCATATTATGATTATTATCTGTCAATGAGTTATGTGAAGCGGTTTAATCTTGAAAGCTTCTATTTCTGTTATTATTACATTTATAATTCTTTAGCAATGCCAACTTGATGGGAATTTTAGTTGTTTATTCTGCTAGATTTGATGATTATTGTTCAGTAGTTCTTTCCTCAAATATAAGTTCATGGCTGAAACATTTCATCAATTTCGCATTTTCTAACAGTTTTTCACTTCTGCTTTATAGATGAAAGTACAATAAATATTCTTGGTTTAGATATGGTTAGTATTCTTCCTTTTAGATAGATTTTCACTTTTCACGGAGTAATATTTTAGAAAGAGATTCATAACAAGTCTCATTTACTTGATTAAATTATATGTTTCTTTTCATTATCTAAACAGTTTTGCACTCATAGTTTGTTTTATTGGTGTAAGAATCTTTGAAGGTTCTTGGTTTAGGTTTTAGTCAAAAGTTGATAGTTATGTGGACCATTTATTGTGCTCATAGTTAGAGTTTTCTGTTGTACATCTTAGTTATTTTGGTAAAGACGGTTGAAAAAGAGTGTTCTTTAGTACTAAGATTTGTCTTTAGTTAAATTTTAAGGGCTTTAAATATCTTGTTCTTGCAGTTAAAATGTCTAAGGTTTTAAAGATTTTTTTAAATCGACCTATGTGAATAGCTTGGCAGACATTTTAACTTTTTGCGAATACATGTTTTTTCTTCAGTATTTTGTTTCTGTGTGGAATGTTTGCTGTTGTTATTTTAAGTTTTTCAAACACATGATCAATTGCGATTAACTTTGCCTTTATATATTGCAGCGTTGATGTTGGATTTCCTCCAGTCACTTTATATTTTCAAAATTCACTCACTTTAAAAGTTCTCCCTCAAGAATACCTATTCCCATATGTAAGTAACTTTTCATTCTTGAATAAGTTTCCCGCTGTAAATATCTGTCTGTGCAATTTATCATTTATTCAATGTTTGTTACACATATTGTTTACTAAATTGTACTCTGTACATATGTAATTTTAAACATAATTCTTACTATCTGGTGTATGGATTGCTTCCCAATTGAATCTGTTTGTATGTTTCCCACTCTACGAATCTTCTATGGAATCTATCATTTTGGAAGGACTTTTCTATGATTCACCTGCATGCACTATATAGTACATATATTGATTCATTAGACTTATTCATATGTAATTTTCAACATAAAATGATTAGCATTGTGGAGTAATACCTACTCTTTTATATGTTCTCTACCTAAATGTTTTTGTTCTTTGTTATATCAGTTGCATGTACAACGCCCATTATTCCACACCCCTTCTCAAATTTGTGTTATCCATTTACAGGAAGATTTATTTTGCATCGGATGGCAAAACAGTGGGGCACAATCTCGGGATAGAAGGAACATCACACTTCTGGGAGGTATGCTTGTTCTTAAGGCAAATTGTTTTTATTCTTTACTAATTTCTATCTCTAAGTAGATTTATTTGATTAACATTGCTAGATGGCAGGTTTTTTGCCACTTCACCATTGTTTTGGCAGCCGGGCTTCGTAGTGTTTTTCTGATATCCCTAGGATGTCAATAGCTTATTGAAAAAGCTAAAGGGTGGTGGACACATTGCGTGTTGAGTTTGTATACCCCAATCTAGAATAAGCTCTTCAGATATCATTTCCACTACTTGTACTTCAGTTTCTTTACTCCCTTGAAAGGGATGATCTTGGATTGACCTCTAACTTAAAGGATACTTTCCTTACCCAAAAATAAGGAGCTAAAAAGATTGATACTAAAAGATGATGACCTTGTATGTATGGGCATAACTTTGGAGTCTGAAAAAAATTGATCTTTTTTAAGTTTCACTAGGGCCTTCCAATTCATTTCCTTTGATGGTCCAGGATTACTAGTTGAGGAAGTCCATTGGACCTGGCTAGGGATGTCCTATGTAAAGTTAACATTTTTGTTTCAAGAACTACATTATAAAAACATAAAGCCTATTTTACCTAATCTGCCATTATGAGTGAAAGCTGAAGCCCCAAGAGTGCTGTTTAAGGATGAACTTAACATTGCCTCTATTATGGTCCAACTCCAATGAGTTTTGATCCTTCTTCTTCTACATTTACCCTCCTATCTTCTTCTCTGACCCACAAGTGACAAAAAATGCATGATGAAACATTCCTTCTCTAGTTATTTATAGGGTAACTTAAATGCATGCCATCTACAAGATGTGTTTCTCTTTTCCTACTACTACTTTTGTTGTTAGTTACATCTTCAAGATGTGTTCTCTTTTTTTCCTTGGTTCTGTCAACACATTGAAATATGTCAAAGTAGCCCATATAATTTTTTTTACACAGGAGCAAAGTATTGATGCTTTCATAGTGTTCCATGGAATTTACTTTGAGCATGGTTAATTGGTTACTAATTCATACACCTGATATTATGGAGATTTATCACCTCATTTAGTCATTTTGTTTTGACACTGCCTGAATACCTGAGCACCATGGACCAAAATTATTTAGCAAAATATCTTCTTATGCTTGCAGACTTGGTACTTTCAAATAAGCTAGTCCTCTATGATCTTGAAAGTCAGGCCATTGGATGGACAGAATATAACTGTAAGATATTTGGTATTCAATACATTACTTTGTCTTTGTTTTGGTTAGATCATATAGTTTCCTAGTACATGGTCTATATTTCTCCATTTCTTTTCCTGTCAATTCTGCTTGATTCCAAGTGATGTTTTCAATCTGACAGAAATGACTGTTCTTGCTACCTCGTAAAAGCCTTCTCTCTACATAGCTACAAATATATGTGTTCATCTGTTATATGAAAGCAACTTTTTCTAGTTGACATAACAAACCTTGTTGGGGACAATATTTTTCTATTAGTTTCATTGTTGAAAACCTAATATGAAATATTGCATTGCATTGACCTTCCCACTCCCTTCTCTGTAGCTTTTCTAAATGAACTCTCATTATAACATCTTTGTTTTCAGGCTCATCAAGCATTGAATTGAAGGATGAGATAACCGGGTCTGTACATTTAGTTGGTGCTCATTCTATATCATGTGGTTGTGGTCTAGGTTTGAAGACAGCTCTATTCTTATTTTTGTTAATATCTTTACTACAAAACATTGTCTACTGAATTGGCATAGGGAAACATAAAAAGGAATTTTGCAAAGAACTGTTACAGCAATACATTGGCTGTCAAAGTCAGATAGAAGGAATAGGTATTAAACCCCACAAAGGTGGTTCTTGATCCGTGTCAATAGCAGACTATCAAAAAATATAGTCCTCATTTTTGTACTCTGTAAATAAAGCTTTGTAAATATTATGCTAATTCAGCTTTTTCAAAAGAGCCACATTGATTACTCTCGAAATTGGCGAACGTATTTATTATGTTGATTTACAACTAATTAAGATACACTTGATCTTGTTTTGAAAAGTATCTCAAAGACTAACAAAGCAGTTCCTGATTCAATATATCTGTCAAGTTGACGCGGCTGTGTTTCTGGAGAGGGGAGAGGCCCATTATGTCGTGGTATTGTTGACTGCCAGTAAGGAATTCATAGCTGCAAAGAGGGGGCCTCTCCGTTGCCTCACTGATCCACACACGGCCGAGACTCTTGCGGTTAAAGAAACACTTTCTTGGACTCTTGTGGTTAAAGAAGCACTTTCTTGAATTAAGGATGAAGGGTGACATGTTCTTGTCAAAATTCACTTTCTTGAATTAAGGATGAAGGGTGACATGTTCTTGTCAAAATGTTTGTCATCTTCCGATCGGATTGTTTTTATACAAGTTGTATTACTGCAGAGTGTTATTCGCTTGCTAGACACTTTGAGACGGTGTTCTTTCAGTTTATTAATAGATCAGTAAATGTGCCCATACTCTAGCTAGGGCGACAAATTCACATGTTTCACCTATTTAGATGTCTATACAATTCCTTATTATATTCAACGTTTCTTCCACATAATATAAAGTGTTGGTTTATTCAATATATATATATATATATACACACACAAAGCAGTTCCCTATGGGTTATATATAAGGTGGGTGCAGAACACAAATTTATAAGTTGAAAGAAGTTCATGCTATTTTTAATTGTATTCATATTTAAACATAACTCCTCACCAAAAAAAAAATATTTAAACGTAACTATTTCGTGTCAATCCAACATTTAATTAGTTTTGTTGCCATATTAAAGAAAAGTCTTATTTTCAAGGGTCAATGCAACTAGCAATTTGATCGCTCCCCTAAACAGGCTTCCGACTGGTTGGAGTATGGCAATTTATATCCTACACCACGGTGCGCGTTGCACTATGCACCCAGATGCAAAACGACGTCGTTTTAATTATTTTTTTTTTTTTTTAAATTTCCCGCCCCAGTGAATGGCAGTAGTTTTTTCTTTAAAAAAAAACCCGCTGTTCAAGAATGTACATAATGTTATACTAGAATACACATAATGTTATACATGAATGTACATAATTATATAACAAAATATACATGCTCTTTTTAAAAGATAATACACATAATCTAACATAATACATAATAAACATAAACTTTTAACATAATACACATCAACTCTTAACATAATATACACAAATTTTCTGATTCGAATGTACATAATTGTATTAAAAAAAATGTACATAATTGTATAAAAAATACACATAACTGTATGAACCAATACACATAACGTTGTGAACAAATACACATAATCTCAGCAACTTCCTACCGAGCCTCCCAATACTACCCCAAAACGACGTCGTTTTGGGAGGCGCGCGGCGCACAGTGCTATGTGCGCCGTGGTGTAGGATATAACGATTGGTTGGAGTATAGGATAGGCCACTCAACTCATGCGGCCCCCCATAGGCCATAGACAAGGGATGGCAAAACACTAACAAATAAAATCAAACACGAATATGGATAAAGTGATGGTGCCGCAGGCCAGGTCTGTACACAAGGCTTGATCAAAACTCTCAGAGACCGAAATAAAAATGATTAATAATTAAAAGAAACGGCACAAAATTCATTTCCAGATCTAGAAGTGACCTTCAAATTAAAGAAAATGGGGAGAAAATGCCAATGAAGCCTTCCTTAAAACTTTGTCAATTCTCTTGTAGTGCCTTCATCAAATATAGTCTGTTGAAGCTCTGTCCCGCAACACTGCAATCATATAACAATTATGTTCAAACTTGTTCTTGATAAATGACAAAAAAAAAAAACAAAAAACAAAAAACAAAAAGTGTAAGGAATACAAGGTTAGTTATCTACTGTATACTGCTACTACCAATTCCGAATTAGTTTATACTGTTCCCCTGGGATTGCAGAAGGGGAATCTTACGAGTAGCATGCTGTTAAGGGTGGGGAATTATACCCGTTAATCTGATTGCAGTAGTTGGCAATTTGATTTGTAATGAGAAAGCTATCCAATCGTGAAGGCTCAGGAATTGGCTTAAAGATGGGATTAGAGGGATCCTCCTCCGGAAGTGGCTCTTCTCCTGCAGCTTTACGTGCCAAGTTCTCAGCCCTGTAAAAGAGTAAGCCAAATAAATATGTGAAGAGCCACCTTAAATGGTGAAGAAAGAACTCATAATCTGAAGATCAAAAGTGCCAAAGTGATGCAGCAGAGTACTATGTAGAATTTTAATTTCTGAGAAGTGAAAACTACCCAGCAAGCCTCAGGTAAAGCTTGGGAAAAGTCTCCCAGAGGGATCGACTTTACTTTTATTTATTATTATATAAGTAATTTTCACCCAATAATGTGCATTTACTGATTTACATTTTTTACTCGACAACCTACACTTTTGATACAGCATAAAACTTTCAACACTATAATTTGTAAAAAATGTTGCAACTTCTGGTCACTTTTCCAGCCAACCTGAAACTATCATGTACTTTCTTTGTGATTTGATTAAGGTTATATTTTGATTGCTTACCAAATTCCATCTATGAAGATTACTAGTCCATACACCAAACAACTTATGAAACTAAATAAGGCACAAATGTTTTAGAAGTTAAACCAAAAAGGTAAGTTTCTTACCTCCTCTTTTGAAGCCAAGCTTGCTGCTGAGCTTGTTGACGAGAAAGGTTACGGTAGTAGAATTGGAACTGCAAATTGAAAACCAGTATTTTCATGATAAGTGTCACTGAGTTGAGATCAATCATACATGAAACTCTAACAATGATCCATGGAAGAAAGGTGACAAACCTTCTGCTGGTCCATTGACAAGTCATCCATACACTCAATTAAAAATTCCACATTCCTCTCCAAATAAGGATTTGTTGATAGCTGTAGCCGATCAAAATCACACTGAAACAAAAATATATATAACCTTCAAGTTACAACCTGTCAATAATTAGATTTAAGTCAATGAGAAGTCTGCTCAACAGAAATTTGTTTACCTGGGTTACAGGTGTATCAGGCTCCAATTCGGTCATAAATGCACTGATAAGAGCAGAATTTGAAACTTTTATCTGTTGAATTGCAAACATGCCATAGAAATCATGATAGGTTATGATTGTGAATCTCTAAGAACTTGAGGTGAATAAGAAAAGGATTATAACTATCATTAGAAGTTGCACAAAAGCAGTACAGGCAACAGGCCCTGTACAAATTGATTAATGACGAACACAGAATAAGTTACCTTACTAATAACTACATTTCTATATGGAAGGAAAAAATAAGCATGATTTTAATGATGAAGGAAACAAAGAATCAGAAGCATACAGGTATCTCCTCAAAGATATCAACAAATGAAAGATTCTTCTCCCTCAACCTACAAGTGAAAACCATGAATGTGTAATGAAATAGGTCACTTCCATTTAGCTTGAAGAGCCTAGAGCACTGGAAGAAAAAGCACAAAGAATGAGTTGGCATACTTCTCTCCAGTAAAACTATTATTGCGGTAAAGATCCATGAAAGAATCGGACAGCTTCAAGGCCTTCAAAGCCAGTATACCTTGGTTAGATCTTGAAGGATCATAGATTATGCATACACATCGTCTTATATTTTCCTGCCAAGGTACAGAAACCTAGTGAGTGACTGTCAACAGAGGAAGGGAAATAGAAAAGGAAAAACTACTGTACTTCTAATAAGTCATGAAATTATTAGGAGAAATAGAAGCAAGCATTAAAAAAAATCCCAGTGAATGGCTGTCCACTTGCAGCAGAGGGAACAAAGAGAGAAAGGGAAAGAAATAGTATATTTATAACAAGTTATGCAAGTAGTAGAAGAAATAGAAGATTAGAAGTAATCATTTTTTAAAAAATACAATTTGACATCATGGCTTGCAAGATCTTCTAGTGCTCAGTAAAGACTCCCAGATGATATTCCTGATGGTTGTATACATTATATAGTATGCATAGAGAGAGAGAGAGAGAGAGAGAGAGAAAGAAAAAAAAAAAAAAAACAGGAATATTTTTCTGTTTACCTCCCTTCAACCTTGGAAGTCAAGACTGAACAAGAGGTTCAACAATTCAAAAATCACCTATAAATCTAGGGAGGAGAAAGCATGCAATGTACATCATATATACTTCGTATCCATTTAACTAATGAGATTTACTTCATGCTTATTTCAAAAAACAACAATACCTGGTAATTCATGAAAGTCTCAATCAGTTCAACCGTTTGATATGAACCAAATAAAGTAGATTGATACCTAGAAGGCAAGCAATACAGGAACAACATTTCAAAATATAGTTTCATTAATAAATATCTATTTTCATTCACCTTTTACCCAAAGAAATTATGTACAAGCCAAATCTGGCAGGGAAAAGGTGATTGAAAAATCAGCAAAATAAAGTTCAAAACAAAAGGAATTGCATGTTCCAAGTCAAAATTTCTAAGAGATCAAATTTCTTCCAAATTAAATTAGAGGGCATCCTTTTAATTACCATTGAATCACATTGATTCATACTAAGACAAAAATCCTTACCATCCAACAGTATTGTTGTCAACATTGACCTCTCTCAGGCATCTCATCATTTCAAGCTGATAATTAGCACCCTCAGCCTCTATTTCTTCATCTTCTTCCCGAATCTAACATTCAAATACAATTCAAAATGAACAAAAAAAGATACAAAGGTAGGCATTTATATTCAAAATTGGAGATTAGGCTGGGCTTAAAAGTAAAGGAGGTAGACCAAATGCCACAAACCGGGAAGGGAAAGCAGTTGGTAACTTCTAGGACACTTCCAACATCCAGTCCTAGGAGTTGTCCAGTGACTAAAGCTGGCGAGAACTCCTTGCAGTGCTTAATTATCTTCATAATAACCTGTCCGCAAGTAATAAGAAATATTGCATTTTACAAGCTATTTCTATTAATAATCACATCTATACATGCACATGAAGATAATAGATGAAGGAGCACATATTTAATGAGATATTGTGATCTATTTAATAAAAGAAGTGTTGAACGTGCATGCAGGTTTGGTACAGGACCTCCTAAAAAGGCAGGATAAAGCATGTTGTACCCTGTAATATACATAAGGTCTTATTTGCTATATCACTGAGGATGGCGAAGATAGGGTGTAAGACACCCAAGGCAAAATGCATGCAAAGGGTTTTATCTTAACACTAAGCTAAACCTTGAATCCCCTAACATATAAGGTTGCAGTCAACTGCAGATATGTTTATCTGTCTGCAAAATTGAAATTTGAATTTGATAACATAAAATATAATAGACCACTCTACTTGTTTTTATTGTACCATAACTTTGTTATAAGCTAGAAGATGGAATTGTTTGTTGTATATTACTATATTCTTGAATTATCAATAAGTTTTTGAAATTTCAACTAGCCCTAGTGGGTGTAGTGGTTGGGCAGATCTTGAGGAAGAGAAAGCAGACATTAAATATAGCAGAACAGAAAGGAAGAGGTTAGGAGGGAATGGAATAGACTTGAGGCTTAATTTGGTACCTTGAAATGGAATCACAATTCCTATCTCTAATTACTTTCCAACATTTGGTATGTCCATTACATTGGAATTGCAATTCCCTAAGAATCCTTATTACATTCCATACTCTATTTTTCTTATTCTTCTTCAGTGCATGGAATGAACATAATATTTTTTTAAGGATCAAGGGATTTGATTAAATCATAAAACTCCATCCTCTATTTCATTGCCAAGTTCATCCCATTCTTGTGTGTTGCAATTGAAGTGTGCCAAACACTAACATAAATGCTGGGCACAACCTAGAAAAGCATCAACATTGTTAATGAAAATAAGATGTGGGCCATGTGGCCAACATTATCTTTTTCAAAGTGGTGTCGAGGCTCAAAACCATGACCTCAAAATCAACTGGTGAGTAGTATTATGCAGTCATGTTATCATAGGCTTCAATGAAGGTCTTCCTAGAAGTGGCAGGTAAAACAATATAGGTATGCTCATGTTATTCTATTTAGTCACCCACTCACCCCTATATACATAGTATGGTAGTCCAAACTAAGCTCTATAATGTTGTATCATATATATATACACACACACACACACTACTGCAAGCACTTATTTGATTTTTTATTGTGGCAATAGGCTCATGAAAAAAGAACTTAAGAATTTTGAAAACCGTATTTAAAGTTGTCTCAATGAGCTAATTAGCTCATCAGAATAAGCTGAAATGAGAGTTAAAATGGAAAACTTTTATAAGCTATATTGAGCTTAAAAAAAAGCACTTATTTTAAGATATTTGTCCAAACTAAGCCCTAAATCATGTTCACATATTGCATGGTATGCCTAAGGTTAACGTGTCAGATAAAGTAAGGCACTTTTTAGCTCATTTGAGCAGCTTTTTTTATATTCATATATAGGCTGCATAGTTATACCCTATAAAATAAAGGCGCTTTGTAGCTCATTTGAGCAGCTTTATATATATATATATATATATATATATATATATATATATATATATATATATATATATATATATATATATATATATATATATATATAAGCTGCATAGTTATACCCTATCAAAGAATTTATGTGTCCTAAGGGGTATTTGAGGTGTGTAATTGACGAATAACCTATGGAGTGGAGAAAGTGGGTATATTTGGGAGAAATTTGGTATAATACTCAATTCCATGTCTCCATACCAACCACTATTACAATTTACAAACCCATTATGGAAATGATCCTCCCCAATTCCATCATACAAATATTAGAAAGAATCAGGCAGTTGCATATAAGTTGGACTTGCGAGCAATGGTTAAAATGCAACCAACTTTTCAGGTTTCCTTCTAGAAGAAAAAAGTAAGATCTAACATTCCTCCTATTAAACAGCTGGCATTAATCAATATTGGAGGTTAGTTCTTGCAGAAACTGTCCCTATTCTGCAAAAGAAAGTGGTGAGAAAAAATAAAACAAGCCAGTAGCTCAACCCTTTGTTCAGTGATCCAATCTTTTACCTAAAAGAGCAACCTAGAAAGACTACTACTGTACTACATATGGAAATCTCAGTTTCCTGATTTTAATCCTTGAGGTCAAGTATTTCTTATGGGGATGGAATTGTAATGAATTCATCTTTTCATTACTACTACATATGGAAATCTCAGGCTCTGTTATTTGCACTTTGACTGAGAAGTCAGATAGGACACCTGGCAAATTTTTCCTTCCTTATTGGCTGATTCCTTGGGAATTCTCCATTATAGTTGTTGGGGATGACAAAATGGAGATTGTGGAATGAAAGAATAATCCTAGTTCTTATCAATTCTCATAAATTCCCATAGTATCATGCAATTTCAATTTCTGTTAAACATCAATTTAAATTCCCAAATTGCTAGAGTCACCACCTCCAACAACTGTTCCTATAGAACAGGCACATTACGAATCAACTACTCGAGCAACGTTCATTATATATACGAATCAGACACAAACGTGCTTGCATAAATACATATAAATGCGTGTTATACAATAACACGTATAGATAGAATGACGGGGGAAGAGAAAGGCATTACCAAGCCCTCTATCTGAACGACTCTGAGCGGTGGCACGGCAACCTCCTCTGTAACTGCCACCTGCAAAAACGACCGCCCTGTTGCTGCACCAACCGTCACCAAGTTATTTCGATTTAAACATACATACACATATACGCACATGCATAAAGAGAGAGAGTCTCACATACCATTCGCCATGGCAGAATGGATCGAGTTCGAGACTGCTATCTTCTAAGAGATTCTCTGCTAAACCAAACTTACCAAAGTGCAAAGAGTTACAGCACCCCAAATATACAAATGTGAAAGCGGGTTTGAGTCGATCGAATCGACGTCGGTTTACTCGCGGCCCGGCCCATTGTTAGCTACGAGCAACTGGATTGGTGTACATCGAGTCATCGACCATGGTACATCTTTTAAGGCGAATTAAACTTTTTTTTTTTTTTGAGGAATTTATTTAAGTTTTTTATATAAGTAAAATTAATACTCCGTAGTTTTTTGTTTTTTTTTTTTTAAATAGTAATCAGGATATCATTGTACTACAAGGTAGGTGGCATGCTCCATAGTTAAAATTCGGTTATATTAACATATAATTATATTCAGTTATTGTGTGTCAACTATTATATAGTGTGATGACACATCTTGTTATAACTAGTTAGAATATGCGCTTTGCGCGAATTAATCAATGCCCAATTGGTAAAACTAAAGTTAGGATAATAATTAATCACTATAAGCTAAAAATAAATGTTGCTTAATCTGATTTTTAACTTGTCAAAAAATAGTTTTAGTGCTTATTGTAATAATAAATAAAGATAAAGAAATTGAGCATCCTAGCGGGGCAAGAATTGCTTCGCGAAGGGGTTGTGCGTAGGGTTGGTGATGGTGCTGATACTTTGATTTGGGAATGACCTTGGTTAGCGGATGCTGTGAATTCAAGCCTAGAAACAGACTATATAGATGAGCCGCGGGAAGCCAGCGTAAGCAATCTCCTAAATGCGGATGGCGAGTGGGATGTGGATGTGGTAAATGACTTATTTACGGCTAATGATGTTGCACGTATTCTGCGTACGCCAGTCTCGGTTTACTGCCAGGATAGTTGGTGTTGGAAGGGCGACATAAAAAGTCAGTATACGGTAAAAAACGGGTACTATTTGTTGACAAAGCATGGTGCAGTTCAAGAGCCTATGGGGGGTTTTTACTGAGTGGAACCGGTTATGGAGTTTACCTATACCGCCAAACGTAAAGAATTTTTCGTGGCGTTGTCTCCGTTATATTTTGCCTGTGCGTGATGTATTGCGTACTAAACATGTGTTCATTGGGGGTGGCTGCCCGTTGTGTTCGTTGTCCAATGAGTCCATCACTCACTTATTAACTCTTTGTAATATGGCCAAACAGGTTTTCAGGTGTGGTGATGTCTTGCAAGGGCAGTCTTTTGTACACTACATTGAGGCTACATTGTGTTTGGTGGAAGCGCCTGTGCGTATGGCAGCCAGATTCTGGTGATTTGGAGGGTACGTAATGATCTAGTGTGGCATGCGAAGGTGTGGACTGTGGAAGCCATGCACTGTGCGGTCAACTCATTGTTGGAAGATTGGCGCGAGTTGAGGTCTACATCCACGGCAGTAACGAGTCAACATCCAGGTGCGCACCAATGGACTCCGCCTACGCCTGGAGTGCTCTCTTATACAGTTGACGTTGCGTTAAGGGCTGGTGTGGTGTCGTAATCCGGGACCATGCTGGCTCCTTCGTGGCGGCACAGAGCGGACTGCTTCTGTGTGGCAATGACCCGTACTTGGCGGAAGCGTTAGCAGTGAAGGAAGCTTTGACTTGGATTAAACATCGTCCTACATCGGCTTATGTTTTAGAGTCTGATTGTTTAAACTTTTGCATTAGTTACAATTCTGTAAAACATGATTACTCTTATGTTGGTTCAATAGTTAAGTAGTGTCGTATGACTGCTAGTGTCATGGTGAACGTTTTGGTCCGCCATGTCAGAAGGTCAGCGAATCAGGTCGCTCACACGCTTGCGGTAGCGGTTGGTTCATCCTCTGTCCTTGGAGAGTGACATCTGGCCCCTCCTGATTGTATTGCAGAGTTGCTTTAATATATTAGTTTGGTTTTTCGTTTCAAAAAAAAAAAAGATAAGGAAATTGAGTATATGCTTTGGATGTGTCATGAAGGCATCGACAAATTATTGTATGGACCACGGTCCAAAATAATGTCGCTGAATTTTATGAGTTAGAATAATTTACTTTATATGTTAGAATAGTTAAACTACTAGTGTAAGGTAATGTATTTGATGAGTTAGAATAATGTGCATTATAAGTTATAAAAATGTATGTTGGAGCGAATTGTGTAAAATATTATGCAAAAAACATCGTTTTTAGAACGTCATCCACATAACTCTATACACCGTTGTCCACATAATAACTACCGCTCCTATTTGTCTTAAATATTGGGAATATGCTTGGATGTACCAATTTGATATGTCATATGTTTGGATGGGTTGGGAAGACAAATTCTTCAATATATGTTTTATTCTTAATTACTTAAAAAAAAAAAAAAACTTTTCCACAATATTATTAATTAATTTTTGTTTCTTTGTGTGAGTTTACGGTTAATATTTATTACGTGCACTGAAAGCCCTCATTTGTAGTATATGCAAATATGTTGTATCATGTCACCTACAAAAAGGCATATGCCATACACAAATGTGTGAATATAAATTAATTAATTAATAAATCTTACATACTCTTTTCTTCAATGTTATTAAATATAGTATACTTGCATACACCATTAAATTAGGTGAATATATTTTAGTCCCTTAACTTTTTAGAGGAAAAAGTACAAATAGGCCATTGAACTATTTGGAGATAGCAATTAAGTCACCGTACTCGAATAAGTTCCAAATTGATCCATGAACCTGCAAAAAAAAAATGTAATTACCATTTTTAGCAGGTTACCAACAAGTTTGTGATGATTAGGATGCCACGTGTATTATTATTATTATTATTATTATTATTATTATTATTATTATTATTATTACTGATGAATTTAATTCACCCGGGGTGGATTCGAATCAATAAATCCGAATAAGAACGTAATACGAATAAATAAATAATATAGAACGATGTCGTAAAGGCCGTGAGACCGTATATTATATTAAATGCTGTAGAATTGGCTATTTCAATGATTCGGTAAGACAAAGTGTATAGAATAGTGAATAGATGTCCTAACAATGTGAGGTGGGGGGTTTTTATATGCAACAAATCGCCCCCCCCCCCCCCCCACACACACACACACACCACTCCCCCTAAAAAGGGGGCGGTTAGATCGCTCTTTGACCGGGGACCCGAGCGGACCGGGTCGGGTCGGATCCCGAGCTCGGGTGGTGCCGAGCTCCCATACCCGAGCTTGCTATGGGCCGAGCTCGGGTAGGGTCGTGCCACCCAACTCAAGCCCCACGTAACTCAGCTCGGATCGAGATACCTCCATGGTGTCGTGGACCGGATGCTTTTGGGCTCCAACGTGGTGCTCCGGGTCCGTGTTGCTACCCCGGATCGGATCGTGCGTATAATATATCCGTCAATTATTATTTATCACACTAAGCATCTTGACCCCCAAAAAATTAAATTAAACTATTAAACTATTATTAGTATTTCCAGAATCATCCACAATACCAAAGACCACAGGATTACGTTTAAGGCTAATATATATGTCAGTTGAAACATGCGAGGAAAACCAAATCGGATTATGTTTAAGGCTAATATATATGTCAATTGAAACAGGCAAGGAAACCAAATCGATCCTATGGAGTCGTAAAAATCATACATAATTATCAATTCATAATTTATAATTTACAAACAATAGTATATTTGCAAAACTAATATAAAAACATGCATGTTTCTTGATAAAAGCCAAAAAAGATTAATATTAATATTATTAAACATAATCATGTGGAGCCGTTATTGGTTGGACTACGTGGTCTAATGGTTTCCGGGTTGGACTTCCAATTGGAAGATTATGAGTTCAAGCCTCAGTGGAGGCGTTATTGGTTCTTTGTGTTTCAGTAGGTTGAGAAAGTATATGAACAGATACTACAATGTAATAGAGCCAGAAACTTTCAAAAAAAAAAAAAAAAAAAAAAAACATAATCATGTGGTCTTTAGAATTATTTTATGATTTTGAAAATACTAATAATAGTTTAATAGTTTAATTTAGTTTTTTTTTTTTTTTGTTTGGGTGAAATGCTTAATAGGATAATAATAATAAAATATAAAATACACATGACATCCTAATCATCACAAACTTGTTGGTAACTTGCTAAAAATACTAATTGCACTCTTTTTTGCAGGTTCATGGATCAATTTAGAGCTTATTTGAGTTCGATGACTTAACCGGTCAGTCTCTTTCAGTGATTAATAATGGCTTAACCTATGACAATATTAGCTGTCACCCGTCACACAAATTCCGGTGCGTTGCTGGAAAACACAAAGTCCAGATAAATGAGATAATAAATCAATGATGAACCAAATGAGTGCACACGCCGACAACCTTTGGCAAACTGGAGTAGAACAACTCTCGAACGAAAAACGCAGATGAAACTATAGAAAATGATAGGAATATTTTTGTATTAAGGTTTTGATGAGCCAAATGTACTTATGACTTTAGTACAAACATCATAATTTTGTACGTTAAGTCAAAAAGCAAAGGAAATACTACTACGTGAAGAACAAAATTAATTTGGAGAATTAATTTTGGTCCTACAAGTATTCATCCAGAAGACAAGCATTAAACAAAGATGTCACAATGAATAACTGGATGAGCCTCACGGCGAAATGGTAAAAGTCTTTGTAAAGACTTATCTTTTTTGCAATGCTAAATCTGAAGAAACAAGAAGCGGCCAAAAAGCAAGTGCAAAGGTCAAAGAAGCAAGATGTGAAAAAAAATGTATGTGATTAGAAGCAAGATGTGAAAAAAAATACAATGTGATCAGACCAAATGGTCACAATGTGACCAGGTCAAACAAGCAAGATGTGACAGGTCAAGATATAGCTATAAGCAAGATCTGATTTTGACAAACAAAGGCAAAACAAGCACAATGTGTCTTTAAGGAGCAAAATATGCTCAAGCAAAGATGATCAAAATATTAAATAAATTCGAATGAATTTATTTTGGTTCATCTCACATGTCACAAGAATCCAAATTGCTTAAAGACATGATCAGAACGGTGAAAAATTTATGAAGGCATGGATAAAGACCTTATCCTATAAATAAATAATGTCAGATGGATTTATTGCCAAGAGACGTGATAAATTCAAAATTGACAAAGATAATAATATTTTAGAAACAACTTGAAAATCAAGTTGAGATAAAAAATATTATCTTGTCAGACAAGTTGGCAATCAAATCAAAATTGAAGAACCTAGTGTCAACAATATCAGGCTACAAGTATCAAATTATTCCACTCCAACGGATATATTTGATAATATATAAAAAGGTCATGAAGACTTGAAGATGAAGGAGTGCGGAAAAAAGACAAGCAAGTGATCTATACAAGCAAAAATTCGAAGTCTAAATATTCATTGAAATATCTAGAAGAGAAATTTAGTCTGAATAGTCTCAAAAGTAGTTAGAGAGATACAATTACCTTCATATTTGTAATTGTAAAAAGAGTATAGATGTGTGCAAAATACTCTAGAGAGTGTAGCTGTGTGCTAAACATTCATAGTTGCTAGGTGTAGCTGTGTGCAACACATGACTTAGTTGGCGTTTGAGTATAACTGTGTGCGGAGTACTCGGAGTTGAGTATAGCTGTGTGCGAAGTACTCGGAGTTGAGTGTAGTTGTGTGCAAGACACTCGGAGTTGGGTGTATCTGTGTGCAAGACATGCGAAGAAGTGCTTGTGTAGCACTTATTCACTATTGTAACTGTGTGTAAAAAATAGTGAATTACTCCTAGACGCGAAAGGAGTAAAGTGGACTAGGAAGATTACGCCACTTCCGAACCACTATAAATTCTCTCTCTCATTTACATACCGCACTTACTTAATTCGTTTTATTTATTTAGTATTTGACTAACCCGTTTACTATTCACTATTGATCTTAACCATCCGAGTTTGGTGTGTTTTCACGTGTGCATGTAACCCAGACTTTCCATGCTTAACATTTAAGTTACTCTAAGTAATTTTGACGTGTTGCATGTGACATTTATCACACGATTGATTTCACACGATGTCTGGTATACAATCTTGAATATCTTGTTAAATATTGAGTGAACCATCTCATTTAAAATATTCAAGATATTCTTGTTATTTCTTACAAATCATATGAGCTTATCTAACGTTGTGCATGTGATCAAATTTACTATTTGGGCATAACACTTTACACATATTTATTCCGATGTGCACTCCAAATTAAATACTTGACTAGTTATTTGTTACTTGGAGTTGAAATTACTAAAGTGTTATTTATTTTGAAAAAGTTTAGAAAGTCTATTCACCCCCCCCCCTCTCTCTCTCTCTCTCTCTAGACTTTCTACCACCCTATCGGGACCAACAGAAAATATAGAAAATAAATGAAACTTGGGTGCACAAACCGGCAACTCTCAGTAATAACGGAGCAAAACAACTCCAAAAACTACATAAATATTAAATAAATCGTAAAAAGCTTAGAACTCCTAAACTGATCGAAAGATGGGAGATCCATGGAGTTTCAACGCCGCTAGCCAACACCAAATTACAGATCTACACCCCGCCAGACCTAGAAGAAAGAAAGGCGAAGCCACCAAAAAGTAAACAACAATAAAATCGAAAGGGGGAGATTGAAAAAATAACCACAAAAGAAGAATGGCAGACACTCTTTTGCTTTGTTAATGAAAACGGGTTATTTCTTTGAAGGAGAACAGCAGGTACAGACTGCCATCAAACTTCAGCAAAACTACAAAATTGTCACCGCCCCTTCAACTAACTGTTTCCGTTTAATTTGACAATAAATATTGGGTAAAATAAAAAAGGAGGAGGATAAATTAGGAAATTACTTGGCCTTTGTACAATAAAAAGAACACAAAGTACAATCTTTTAGAACACGCTGTTACACCAACACATTTTGTATTCCCGTTATACCCCTACCTTCATTGGTTCTTATTAAAGTTGTAGATGTAGATTCTAAATGAGTGGTCACATGATCAAACAATTATTATTATGTGGACTATAAATAAAAAATTATATTATTTGGGTATTGAAAGTATATTATTTTGTATATTATCAAATAATGTACATTCAATACAAAAAAATAATATACTTTTAGTATATTAAAAATGTACATTGTACTCATGGAAAATGCATTATTTATATATTGAATGTACATTATAATGACATCCAGTATACACATAGTGTATTTTTTTTGGTTGCCCAAAGGTATCCCATCTGTCCCAACGGACGAGATGCTGAACCACCACGCCAACCATGTTGGTTACAAATAATGTATTTCAAGTATATTAAAAATGTATTTTTTTATGGTACACATAGCACTTTATGGATCATGATTTACATAATAATTTGCCATGATCCTGGTGGGCCATTGATTCTTTAACCTAAAAAAGATGGACAAAATATATACTCCGGTAACAGATATTTTATTATAAACAATCATGAGTGTTTCAAACACAAAATACTAAGTTATTGTGTCATGTTTATTTTTAATATACAAATGTTTCATTTTTCAAATTGTAAACTTGTTTTTACAACTGTAATGCAACTAATTATAATGATGGATTTCAAATATACTAAATAAAGATACGCATTCATTCTCACAATATTGAATATTAATGGATTATGCATGCAATACCAAATATTCATCTTTACAATAACAATACAGATGTACCTACAATCCTTTATATAATAAAGCTATATGGTTTGAGAAATAATTAATGTTACAATTAATGTCACAACATCCTTTATGATAAAAAAAAAAAAAGCACAACATTTAAAAAATAAAATAGCTATATATTATATAATCATATAAAAAATATACTTTTGAAAAATAAAATAGCTATATATTATATAATCATATAAAAAATTTGTTCAATTAGAGTAATTATCTTTCCAAATGTAATTATCTTAGTTATTATTCGTATTGTGAAAATTATAATATAGATGAAATACAATTAAGAATAAATCAATGTAATTATGTAAATTCTCTCTATAAGTTTATTTGAATATGCACATAATTAGAGATTATATTAAGCATACAAAATTATAATTATAATTATAATTATAATTTTAATTATAATTTTGTATTCTATAAAAATAATAAATACTTGACCAATGGAAGTTCAAAAATATTATTATATTAAATAATTTAAAATATTTTAGTTTTTATATTTTTTATTTATATTTATAATAACATAATTTTTTTCCGTGTATCGCACGGGTGAATTACTAGTAGTTTCAATAAGATACTACTGTATCTTTATATTTTCACAACACATACTGTTCATTTATCAATATTGCAAGTTTATCAACAAACAATTAAGGTTCGAAATGTATTAATACGGGTATCAATCAAAACATATCAATACAATATTTTTAATAATATATTGTGTAGTGTTGATTTTATTTAAACACAAAAATAAAGAACAATATGTGTAAATGATAGTGGACAAATTGACATTATTTTAATGAACTTACAATATTGTTATAACGAAACAAGGCACACGATGTAATTTGAACTATAATCTATAATAGTTTGCCCTTTATAGTTAGAGCTGTCAAAACCAGCTCAATCCGTTGGGGTTGGACTCATTTACCAACCCCACCCCCACTTTTGTTTTTGTTTGTTTGTTTTTTTTTTTTTTTGTTTTTTTTTTTTTTTTTTGTTTTTAGGGGATGCATCCAACCTAGTCCGTATGTACCATGGTTGAAAAAACCGTTAAGCGCTCATAAGGCGCCCGTGTATTATTTTATTTTATTTTTTAAAAACTTGTTTAAAATTTGTTAAAAACTTTATAATTATGAACTATTTAATATTAAAATATTAAAAATTAACCTAAAAACCATATAGAGTTCGAATAATTTAGAGTTATTTTACTCAAAACGATGTAGTTTTGAATGAAATAAACAATTACAAAAAGAGAACAATAGCTAATTGGTCGACTATACAACCTAATCGATGCCTAGGAAGCCTAAGCAGCGCTTATGCATTTAGAGTTATTTTACTCAAAACGATGTAGTTTTGAATGAAATAAACAATTACAAAAAGAGAACAATAGCTAATTGGTCGACTAGACAACCTAGTCGATGCCTAGGAAGCCTAAGCAGCGCTTATGCAGCCTAGTTGGCCGACCGCCTTAATCACTAATTATGGTGATACATTAAGCAGTTGGCCAGCGCCTAGATATGATATTTGCAACACTAATATATACTCTGTATATTAATAATATTAATATTTTCCTGCCAGGTAACCACACGTAAGCATCCCGATAAAATTTTATCCGTCACCAAAGGTTAACCAGCTATTGTGTTAATATACATCAAAAATTTAAAATTCACTAACATATACTCTGTATATTAATAATATTAATGTTTTCCTGCCAGGTAACCACACGTAAGCATCCCGATAAGATTTTATCCATCACCAAAGGTTAACCAGCTATTGAGTTAATATACATCAAAAATAAAAAATTGAAAATTTTAATTGTGACAATTTCATATATAATTTAAGGAAAATATTTAGTGTACTCTCATTTAATTTTTTACTCCCTCTTACATGTTTAATTTTTGATGCAGACACTTTTCTGTGCAATTTCATATACGTTTAATTTTTACTCCTTCTTACATGTTTTTGATGCAGACACTTTTCTGTGGACACACATGATAAAAATTAGTCAATTTTTGTTTACCACCTAAGAAGTATAAATAAGGGAGTAGAATTTGAGAGTTTGTATAGTAGAACTCATAATTTAATGACTTATATTTATCACATTAAAAAAACCATTTACGGTATGTTAGGGTATATTAGGAAACTGCAAACCACACCATGTCACTCGCTGGGGTACACTCTCCCCTGCCCCACGCCATCACACACATAAATTTTATTAGCTGTCTCTCCCCGCAACTTTGATCCCCTCTGCTCCTAAACCCTTAACCCTACTTCACCTATCTGAATCTCAAGGGTTTATATAAGCACATTCGGAGAGGGGAAGAGCTTGATCGACCTTCTTTGATTTTCTCCAAAGATTAAGCAATGGATCTCCAGAGTCTGGTCGCCATTCTCAGTGGTGCAAATAGTCCAAATCAAGATGTTCGTAAAGCTGCTGAGGAAAGCCTTAATCAGGTACTCATCGATTATTTTTTTCGTATTTTTATTTTCTTTTAATTGAATTGTTTCTTCTTAGTATTCTGAGTGATGGAACCATTGATTGTCTAGATATGTGGAGTTCTTCTTGGCGTACTTCAGATGATTCGAGAAGAATAAGAATTTAGTGCAAATTCTCGGATTTTAAAAAATCTGCTTTTATTTGTGTTCATTCCTGATACTTTTTTCACTTGAATGAACCTTACTATTTCATAGATATGTAGAATTTTTTGGTGAAGTACTTGAAATGATTCAGAATGGAATAAAGAATAGGATCTTGCTGAAATTCCAGTCTTCCTTTTGTTTTTTTACTGTGGATTTTATGTTGGCATGTTTCTTCAGTCTCTATACATTGCCATTTTGGAATTTGGATTAATGGATTAATGATCTTTCCATCCACAAATTATTATGTTCTGAAACAAGATCACTTTTAGCACTAAGGTTAGAACCATTATTTTTTACTTAATTGAAAATATTGCATTTCATGTTTTATTTCCTTATTCAAGAATACACATTGCTGTTGTCATGGAAATAACATATTTTGGATGGACTCATACTACCAGTCTACCAGCTGAACATATTGAATTAAAGATAAATGGTTGTTCCATAATTTTAATTGGGTCCATTATCTGAATGCCATTTATAGTTTTTAAAGCATTTGAATTTTTGTAGTTCTGCACAACACTCAAGCTTGATACAAATAAAGAATTAAATAGAGAATTGTTAGAAAAGATGGTAATGGGAAATAGAACCCAAACAGCTATTTGTCAATAAGACAACACTACATTTTACTTGCACACAAAAGATGGTAGAAGTTTATTCAGTTTGCATCACAAAGCTTATTTAATGGCTTCTAGAAGTGGATTTTCCCACATTCCACTGATTTCTTCTACCAGACCAGCTTGCTTTGTAACAAAACAGAAAAGACTGAAGAATGACAATAAGTCCATAACTATTTTTGGTAACTAATGTCATCACTGATATCCAATGCCATGTCTTCAATTGACCCCTGATTTCAGCCACTTGCATTCCAATCTTCCAAATTTCCTTTAGCAACTTGGTACAGATGTACAATCAAGTTTATTACATTTTGGAAGTTGGAACTCTCCATTCTCCAGCTTAATTCTTTACATTAACCTTTGACTCCATGGCATTTTGGATTACTACTCTATTTAGTTATCTTTTTCTGTCTATGTTATCATTTTAAGGGATGCTTACAATTGATATGCAGTGGGGTTTCACTTATTGTGGCTGTATACAACAGTGTTGTTTACAAATATGGGGTTGTGTAGAGTCACTAGAGTGATTACACTCTACTCATCCCAAGAAGCCCTGCTTTTTTACATTTATATGATATATGATTTCAGAAAAAAAGATTTGAGGTCTGAGGTTTTACTTCTTGCCCTTGGCCTAGAATATCATGAAGTTTAAAACAAAGCCGTTAAAAAAAAAAACTCTGGAACTTCTTCATAAGTGAGAACTATGATGGTTCACTTCTTTTATACATGGGGGAGGTGGTGGTTCAACTTGGGAACAACATGGCCTATGAAGGTCACCTTTACACAAGGAGAATTGGACATGCAACAACATTTCAATTTATTAAAAATTTAAAAGTGAACATTATTCCAGAACAATAAGAAAAATAAAACTGGATTTTCAAATATTCAATGTGGGACACTGGAGTAAATGAATTTCCTATCAAACCATTTTTTGTTCCATTGAACTGAACAAGAACACTTTCAAAGGTCTAGACTCCTCATTAGTCATTCATTTTATTTTAAATTATGAACTCATTATCTGTCGTAAAAATTTTGTACATTGGTTCATTTAGATTTTTTAATTGTTTTTTCAGTTCCAGTATGCACCACAACATTTGGTGCGGTTGTTGCAAATAGTAGTTGATGGGTCCTGTGATATGGCAGTCCGACAGGGGGCAAGTATATATTTTAAGAACTTCATTGCCAAGAACTGGTCACCTCACGAACCTGGTAGGACCCACTCATTATTTGTTTTATATATAAATATGTGTGTTTTATGTATATATGTGTACACATGCACATTACATACACACATTATAAGTGGACTGATAAACTTCTACATAAAACTTCCCTTTGAGGATTTGCAATTTATTTATTTATTTTAAATTTTTTGTTTTTATATTTTATAATTCTAACACTCATTTGCAACTTTATGTTTAATTGCAGGTGAGAAATCAAAAATTATGCCAGGTGATAAGGATATGGTTAGACAAAACATAATTGTTTTTGTTGCTAAGGTGCCTCCATTGTTGAGGTATGCTTGCATAACCCTGTTTTCTTCGTATAGCCATTGCTATCACTGCTGTTGATAACTCCCATATATCCTGTTGATGAAGCACATATACTCTGGATGTCTGCAGCTCTGTATTGCAGCCTGGCTTGATGACATATGATACACAGACATCCAAATAGATTAAATGTTTTTTAGGGTTTAAGTGTTTAACTCCATCTATTTGCCAGTTAAGTCTTTAGTAGACAGTGTCTGCCTGATACATTTTCATGACATTATCATGCAACTACTATTTGTTCATGACAGACACAGTATGTATAAATGTTGTCTGGGTGTTTTAGGGTTTAGCTCATTATATTTGTCTGTCAGTTTCCTGTTTCCTGTAGACGGTGCATATCTGATACATATCACACACATGCATTGAAGTGCATCCTTTAATTCTCTTATTAAAAGCAGAAAAAAGTTGTGTCTTAAAGTTGTTTGTGTTCATTACCAGAGTACAGCTGGGTGAATCCCTGAAGACAATTATATATGCAGACTACCCTGAGCAGTGGCCAACACTTTTACACTGGGTGAAGCATAATTTACAGGACCAACAAGTTCATGACGCTTTGTTTGTTCTTAGGATCCTTGCGAGAAAATATGAGTGAGTTCATTCAAATTGAGTTGCTTTTATCACTGCCTTGTCACTATATTTGATTTGGTTTCTGGTGTTATAAAACATATTTTACTTTTATTGCACTTATCTGTTTTGCATGTAAAAAAATAGAGATTTTTGACATAGTTTTTTTTTTTTTTTTTTTTTTTTTTAAATAAATTAAAACCATTTCAACACTATGCAAGACTTGACAAGTAAAAAATCCAACAAAAATGTTTTGATAAAATACCTAAAATGAATTACTCATGTAGCAGCATATCACATGTTTGGGGGAAAGTTGCTTTCAACTTGATTTTGTTTAACATTGTGAATGAACTCCACATAGATGGCAGCAAACAAGTAAAGCTTTGTAAATTAGGAAGGCAGATTTCTAAGTAAGAAAGCAAAGTAAGCTCCCCATCAATCACCTGTGCATGATTGCTCTTATTTGTGTGTGTGTGTGTGTGTGTGTGTGTGTGTGTATGTATATGTATATGTATATATATATATATATATATATATATATATATATATGAGCTCAAATAGAGCACACATGTTCCCTTTCATTATTATTATTATTATTATTATTATTATTTATACCTCTGTCAAAACTTAAATGGGCCACCTAGAAGTAGCACATAGACAAATTATAAGGGTTGTAAATGATTATTTGATTGTCTGGAGTCTGGTAACTGTTGAATGCTATGTTGAAGTTTTTTCTGAAGTAGTTTTCCCTTGTTTTCTAATTCATTTGGAGAATCCAGGATTTGATTTCATATTCCTGACTCCTGCTTCCATATGCAACACATTTTAACTTCTATGCTTTAATTAATTTTTGGCTGTAACACTGGGTGTACATGCATTGTTTTAACAAAAAACAGCACTACTTGAAATCTTGTTGAAACTTTTGTTTACTGTTTCAACTTTTAGGTATGTTTACTTTATTTGCTACATTTACCTGTATTTATGGTTCTGCAACTGCTTAGAGGGAACCCTAGAGCTCAAATCGTGTAATGCTTTGCATATTCTTTGGAAATGTATACGGAACCAAGAAAATATTGTGAAAGTTTGAATGGATGAAATTTCTTGAATCTTTACATTAAGCTCTTTGGTTTTGATATTCAATCAGTTTTAATTATTTAGTGATGGCTATTTTCCTTTTTTTTTTTCTTCCAATGAATTAAACGTGTCCATTTTGTTCTTCTCTCTCTATTATCTATTTCTATCCAGATTCAAATCGGATGAGGAGAGAAAACCTGTCTACCACATCATTGAGGAAACATTTCCACATCTTTTGAATATATTCAACAGGCTTGTTCAGATCGTAAATCCTTCAATTGAAGTAGCAGACTTGATCAAGCTCATTTGCAAAATATTCTGGTCATTTATATATGTATGTTGCTTTAAAGCTTTATCATAATATGCTCTTACTAAGTAATTTGTTTTGGTGGTGGCAGTTTTGAAGAGCAGTATATATCCATGTTATGTTAGGTTAATAAGAAACATCAAACATGTTTCTCAATTCTCATGACACTTCAATAGTTTGGTCAATTAAGGCAATGCCTTTCATTTATCTTTTGATCTTTACATGAATAATTTCTGAGAGAAAGATATCTCCATAGATCTGTTTAGCTTTAGCTCTTCAATTATTACCACTTCTCAAATATACACACAATTTTCAAATTTCACAAAGGAAAATTTTGGGCGTAAAGTTGGCTTTAATTTGTAAAACTTGTTATCTTACTTCAACTCTAATCTCCTCTATAGTTTTTCAGTCTTTTTGCAAGAAATTGGTGCTTTTGGGGTTATAATATAATTACCTACAAAGTAGTGGTTATAATACCATTGCATAAAAAGAAGTGAACTACTTCTCAGTTTTTTTTTTTTTTTTTTTGGTACAATAATTGATCCAACAGAAATTGTTGTTGGTTTTTTTTTTTTGGTGGTGGCTGTATGTGAAAGCCAATTCTACTGATATTTTTTTCACTATCAGAGGTAATATTGGCTCTATACAATATCTAATTATGGCATTTTAACCTTTTACAGCTAGAGATTCCTAAGCATCTGTTTGATCCAAATATTTTTAGTGCATGGATGACTCTTTTCTTGAATATTCTGGAAAGGCCTGTTCCTGTGGAAGGACAGCCAGCTGATCCTGAACTAAGAAGATCTTGGGGATGGTGGAAGGTGAAAAAGTGGACAGTACACATTTTAAACCGTCTTTTCACCAGGTAGTTTCATAGCAGTTAGTTGTGTGCTTAGTGTTTCTGACCTTATTGTAGTCCAATATCTACTATCGGTATTATCCTTTTGTTGCTTCTTTTCTCCTTAATCCTCTATCTTTTTCAGGTTTGGAGATTTGAAACTTCAAAATCCAGATAATAGGGCTTTTGCCCAGATGTTTCAGAGGAACTATGCAGGAAAAATTTTGGAGTGCCATCTTAATTTGTTGAATGTTATCCGAGTAGGTGGATATTTGCCTGATAGAGTGACCAATTTACTTCTGCAATACTTAAGCAACAGGTTTGTGCAATTTCAGTTCTTGTTTAACAACCTGTAGGTTTAACTTGAACTATGATTTTAACTTAATATTTCTGCATTTATAAGAAGGTTTGAACCCCTCATGATACAAAGTGAAACATTTTATTTATAAAAAAAAGAATATTATTATACTTGTAAGTAAATTATTTTATTCCCAAAAATGTTTCCATAATAGATATTCACATGGGATGTCCTTTTCCACTCTTAGTTATAGTTTACAATAGCATTGATGCTTTCTTTTCTTCTTTAAATGCCTATTAATCTATTATATGCGTTAACCAACTAACAATGATACCCTTTCTGTTAAAGTGCAAAATGCCTGTTTCTACGTGCTAGGCTCTGAGATGTTAATTAAATAACAAACGAGGTAGTAAGTTGATGTTAATTAAATAACAAATGAGGTGGTAAATCATTGAGATGATTGTACTTGATGTCAGCTTCAAGAGGCAGGTAGAAGGTTGCCTTTTATTTCAAAATTGGCCCCACTGTATTTTTAACAAGGGACATATTTTACCGTAGGAAATGTCAGGTCTTTTTTAGAAGTTGCTAAAAAGGAAATTGGGACACCTTAAGTTTACTATTTGCTGCTTTTATGTATTGTGAGTCTTCTAGTGCTGCACATTTATTGTTACTTATCTGGGATTGGAAGCAAAAAGTAGGACATATGTTTTAGGTCATGGTTGTAGTTTTTAATCTCACAGGGAAAGCACATAGTTTAAGAGTATGGTGCAATTATGTAAGTTCTGTACTCTGTCTCATGTAACATACTTCCTTTTTCCATGGTATATCCGTCTTGCTTTTGGAAGTATAGTTGTTAATGCTATGTAAGATGATTTTGGATTGGGGAAATACTTCTTCAACTGAGCATCATGAATGTGTGTCAACTTTCAATTAGATTTAATGTTCTGCCTCATTTATGGACTAATATACTCTTCTGAGCTTGAAATCCTGCAACATACTACAAACAGGATATTCAAAACACCTGTTGCTTGACTTGGCTTTTACAATGCATCTTTCTCACCACCTGAAGAAGGAACATTGACTTCCCAAATTTCTCGATGGTGCATATTTGTTGTATAAAATGTATATCTAATATGTTAAGATTGATTCTTATGGTTTCACAATGTTTTTGGAAGTATTCGAACAGTGCTATCTAAAGGACCGCCTTAACTTGTTTTTCAAGTAAATTCTAGAGGTTAAATTGTGATACCTTATGGTTCTGAAAGTGGATACAATTATTTATTTATTTATTAAACTTTTAAGTTACTCCTGTGGTTAATTTAATTAGTACCATTTAATGGAATTATTCCCTTTGTCGTGAATGCTAACAAAGGCAAATTGAAGTTACAATTAATTTAACCTCAATGAAGGTAAATTTAAGTTGCAAGTGGATGCATTTATTGATTTATTAATACAATGAGTTGATGTGATATCTTCCTATGCTTAATCTTTACAACTTTATTTAGCATAATTGGTGATTATTATGTCTGACTTTTCTGCCTTAAGCCCTTAACCACTCTGTGATAGTTTCCTGCTTTGTTGTTGACCGTGCAGTATATCAAAAAGTAACATGTACAATCTGCTGCAGCCAAGACTTGATGTTGTTCTTTTTGAGGTTGTCTTTCCCCTTATGTGCTTTAATGATAGTGATCAAAAGCTTTGGGATGAAGACCCTCATGAGTATGTTCGAAAAGGTTATGGTAAGTGGATTTGTTCTTTAGAACAAATTCTCTTTTTTCGGGCTTATTCTACAAGTTTGCTGATTAAAGAACCCCATACCCTGTTTTCGTCTGCAGATATAATTGAGGATCTATATAGTCCTAGAACTGCTGCAATGGAATTTGTCAGTGAGTTGATAAGGAAGCGTGGTAAAGAGAACCTTCAAAAGTTCATACTCTTCATTGTTGAGATCTTTAAGAGGTATACTTTGAGAAAAATAGGCAGCTTATTTGCATTTTTTAAAACAACTCGAGGTTTAAATGCTAAAGAAAATTATTATTTTTCATTGTGTTATTGATTTAGATATGAAGAGGCAGGTCCAGGATACAAACCTTATAGACAGAAGGATGGTGCCCTCCTTGCAATTGGGACACTATGTGATAAACTGAAACAAACTGAACCATATAAGTCACAGCTCGAACATATGCTTGTGCAACATGTCTTCCCTGAATTTAGCAGTCCTATGGGTCATCTTCGAGCCAAGGTGTGTGTTTGAATCATAGAACATGTTGCATTGAAATTTGTTGCTAGTCAGTTGCATAAGACTTTTTATACACAAACTAAATTCTCTTCTGGCTTTGTTCACGATTTGTTATTGTGGTGTATGGAGAATGACTTTTGCTAGAAAATTTGGAATGGCTTCACTGGATGCAATATACTTCGTTGTGTTTAGAAAGGATATTTGTTTTATTTTTGGAATTCATGAGGGAAGTTCTCTTTTTTCTTCCAACTTCTTTCATCTTTTAAGAATATCCATATATGTATTCCCAAATTGACAAAAAACCAGCATTAGTGTAGATCATTGGACTGAAGGTTTGCGCTTTGGTCTATGACATGGATTTTTTGTGTAAGAAATACCATTAACATAATGTAAAGAGCATATGGGCACTGAAAAGTGGCAGATTATATGGAAGCACTCTCATTTTTGGGAAATGGCATGAAGATGCTTTATTGGAATGCCATATTAGGAACAAGGGTCAAGGGGTCATCAGAACATGTTAACCAGAACCTAAATACTACAAAGTCTTTCTCATCTGACACTGATAATTGCTTGTTTAGATATATACATACAATGACGTTGATTTCTGGTGAAACACAGTATATATTATATTGATTTATGATAAAATCTCTAATATGATGGTGGACATTTTTTTTTTTCAATTACTTTTGAATAACTACTACTAATGCGGAGGCTTACTCAGTTCTTCTACCTTTATGTTGCTAGCTTGCTTTTGGACTATGTTCTCATTGAATTGATTGAGTAATGAGTACTTTAATTTGAACTTGAAGTTTTTCTATTGTGTATTTCTATCATGTTCTGCTTTTCTTCTTCAATACTAGGCAGCATGGGTTGCAGGACAATATGCATACATCAACTTTTTAGATCCAAACAATTTCCGTAAAGCATTGCATAGTGTTGTTGGTGGAATGCGCGACCTTGAACTTCCGGTTAGGGTTGATTCTGTTTTTGCATTGCGTACCTTTGTTGAGGCCTGCAGAGGTAATATACTGAAATATGTTTTTGTTGTATTGACCTTGATTCATAGAGTTAATGCCATTTAAGATTCTGATCACTGCTTGTTTTCATGCAGATTTAAATGAAATCCGACCAATCCTTCCTCAATTGCTTGATGGTATGCCACTGATGATTGCAGTTCACATCTTTCTTGTTTACTCTTGATCTTTAGTTGACATTCCAACTCTTTGTCAAAAATTGGAATTTCAGAGTTCTTCAAATTGATGAATGAAGTTGAGAATGAAGATCTTGTATTCACCCTTGAGACAATTGTGGACAAGTTTGGAGAGGAGATGGCTCCTTATGCTCTTGGATTATGTCAGAATCTGGTGAGAGCTATTATTAGTGGTTTGTTCTAGTGCAGCTGAGATCTTGGTATTATTTTCCCCCTAACATTGGTACTCCTATAGGCTGCTGCATTTTGGAAGTGCATAAACACTGCAGAATCAGATGAAGAAGGTGATGATCCTGGTGCTTTAGCTGCAGTTGGCTGCCTGCGTGCCATAGGCACCATCCTTGTGTCAGTGAATCAGTTTCCACACATTTTTGAGCAGATTGAACCAACGTTGCTCCCTATAATGCACAGGATGCTTACGATTGATGGACAAGGTACTTTATACTTCTATGAGTTTGATGCCCTTTCTGCTCTCTCTCATAAAATAGTTTGAAAAGTTTCTTATAGTTCATACTTCATAGATGTATCAGTACTCTAATTTTGAAAAAAGCATCTGATTTGATAGTATTTATAGGGAAGTGATTGGCTGAACATGTACTATAAAATAAACTGTTATGATTAGAACTTAGGAGGTAATGTACATGGATATAATTTAGAAGCATTTTTGTCAGTTTTTATTTTTTTACCTTTGTTTGGCAACTCCTGAAATTGGTCATGCTGAAAGTGAAGTGTCTTTATCAATTTTGATCTAAAAGGAGGAATTAACACCCCACCCCTTTCACATTTTATCTGCTCTGAAAAATCTTGGTTTCTTGTGGGACAGCACATCTCTCATCAACTTCTATCTAAAGTCTTCAGGTGACTCTAGTGATTGCTAGATTTTGGTCCATTTTTAACTCCTAAAGACCTTCTAGAGATGTGAGATACTGGCTCATATACTTAACCCTCTTTTTAGTGTTTATCCTTGGTTCTCTGCCTCTCACTACAAGATTGGAACTTAATTGGAAGCAAACCATTGTGAACCAAGTAATCAATTGATGCTTAGTTTTTTTTTTTTTTTTTTTTTTTTTTTTTTTTTTTTTTTTTTCTTTTTTGAAACAATTGATGCTTAGTTGATAACCCTTTATTTTAATTCTAGATGTTCTTTTCTTATGATTATAATGCTAGATTAAAGCCACTTATTGAAAAAATTGCTTAGGTGATAGTCCAAATCTTATCTCTATGTATTCGATCTCTCTCTCTCTAACATTTATCTATTTCTCAAAACAAGGTGTAAGGTATTTACTGATTCAAGATTTGAATGTTCTGTTCTCACTGCAGAGGTCTTTGAGGAAGTTTTGGAGATTGTGTCTTATATGACGTTATTTGCACCAAAAATATCATTGGACATGTGGACTCTCTGGAAATTGTTGATGGAAGCACTTGCAGATTGGGCTATTGATTTTTTTCCAAGTATGCTATTAAACTGTGTATTCTTATGATATTTGTATTGGATTTTTTTTTTTTGACTAGTTTCTTTTCTGTCCTCCAATGGAGGGTGGATAGTTTTTTAGGGATTATTTATTGGAACTTGAATAATATGTTTGTATGAGTAATCTTGAAGTTGGAAATGGCTCATATATAAACTCTGATAACTTGAATCCTATGCCTATCTGGATCTGAAGTAAAATATAAAATCTAATTGATGCAATGACTAAATTTTAGGAAAGTTGCTACAGATTGAGATCATCTGGGACCATGGGATATCTTCAAATTGCAAGTGCTATAACTCTGACACAGTCCTCTGTACTCCATTTTTGCAGATATATTGGTTCCATTGCACAACTATATATCGAGGGGTACATCACATTTCCTTACATGCAAGGAACCAGACTACCAGCAAAGCCTTTGGAATATGATTTCATCTGTAAGTTAACGTCATAGTTAGAGAACTTTGCCTCTGATTAAGCTACAAGTGGTTATGATTGAGTTGCATAACACCTGTTTTATTCTTTTTCATGCAGATCATGGGAGATAAAATCTTGGAGGATGGGCAGATTGAACCAGCACCTAAACTCATTGGAGCTTTATTTCACAACTGCAGAGGACAGGTGGATCACTGGGTTGAAGCATATATTAGAGTCTCAATTGAATGTCTACGTCATGCTGTGAAGCCATACTTGAAATCCCTCTTGGTCCAAGTGGTACAGTATTCAATATTTTCTCTTAATTTCGTTTATATCTTTCTTCCTCTGCATGAGCGATAGATAGATAGGGGACCTGCAGATAGGTGGCTCAAACTGAATGTTCTTTGTTTTTGTTTTTTCTTTTTCATTCTTGTTTCTTTCTCAGTTTTTTGATTTGTTATGTTGTCCTAATAATTAAATATTCAATATCTTAAGAAACAAACAATTTTCAACTGAAATGTTTTTATATATGCTTTCTTTTTGTAGTTTTTTTTTGAATTTTTTGTATATGCTTTCAACTGAAAGTACTGTAGTTTTTTTGATTTTTTTTTTTTTGTGTTCATGAAATTATTTGTTATTGTTTTTTCGGGAAGTGTTTAAAACTCATACCTTGATAGCATCTATTTATGAAAAAATAATATTCCCTCCATCCTACTTAAATTTGTCCTGCTTTTTCCTTTTTAATCCATCCTAAAATAATGTATACTCTCCTTGTTTATCCAAAAGCTTACTGGAGCTTATCCACTCCATAACGTAGAAGCTTGGCCAAGTATGAAAGTAGAGGAAAAGCTGGGCCAAACAAACGCTCAACAGTCTGTAACTATTGGCCTTTGCTTTTATTTTTTGTTTACTTTGTTTTCCTTTTTGACAGGTTGCTGATGCTTTTTACTATAATCCATCATTAACAATGAGTATCCTGCAAAAGCTTGGTGTTGCCGCAGAGATCTTCAATCTCTGGTTTCAGATGCTGCAACAAACTAAAAGAAGTGGGCTTCGGGCTAATTTTAGAAGGTGGTTACAACTTCTTGTACCCTTTTTTTGGTGGCAAGGAAAAAATATAGAGTTAGTAATGCTTGGTTCCTTGGTGTTGCAGGGAGCATGAGAAGAAGGTTTGCTGCTTGGGTTTGACATCATTGCTCACTCTTCCTGCAGATCAAATGCCAGGGGAGGCCTTAGAGCGCATTTTTAAGGCTATTCTTGATCTACTTGTTGCCTACAAGGATCAAATTGCAGGTTCTTAACTGCCCTTCTCTTTTTCCCACCCTGCTGTTTTTTCCTACCTCTTGCTGGTTTATTCAATCTAATTATTCTGGTGTATTTTTGTTCTTGTAACTAGATACTTCCAATTGCCCTACCTCTTGATATATATATATATACTCCGTATATATATACTATTTCATTTTTGTTTTTATGTGCTCAGAAGCTGCCAACGAAGAGGAAGCTGATGAGGATGGTATGGATGAATTCCCAAGTGATGAGGATGAAGATGATGAGTTAGACAGAGAAATGGGAAGTGGTGAGGATGGAGATGAAGCTGACAGTCTTAAACTCCAAAAATTGGCTGCACAGGCAAGTAGTGATTTGGTCTCTTGATCTTGTTATTTTTGTGCTTGTTTCAACTCTTGGCATTTTCTCCCTTTTTAATAATAATTTGCCATTGTTTTTTAAAATTCTTGGATTTAAGGTAATTGACCATAAATAGTGTTTATGGAATAAATTATTTTAAACTATTTGTTGGCTTTCAGAAATGCAATTTTCTGGTTATGATACACGATACGTCTGAGTGAACAGGATGGTGTTTTCTTTAAAGGGAAATAATAGGGGTGCCTTTTTACATGATTTAGCTTGATAATCTGGAGTTTAGGACTGTTCTGAGAAGTTAACAAGAGCCATGAAGTGAGAATCTACATGCTAATATATCCAATACAATATGTAAAGAGGCTTTGTGCTAGTATGTGAATTAATTTTTATGTAATTTTCTTTTGGCAATCTAAACAACTAAGTGCAATTTCTGGTAGATTTTCTGTCCTTTTACTTCCTCCCCAGGTTTTTTAAATCCATGTGGAAGCAAACTTTAAAGTGATCTTTTCAGGTGGATCTTTTGCCTGAAAGTACCTTGGTAGTGGTACTTTGTTTACCACTCGTTATAGTGTGGATTTGTGTTACATGTTATACTATTTTACTTAATAATAATTTAAAAGTTGTAAGTGGTTGGATTAAATTAGCCTTAAATTCTATACCATGTTTGGGAATATAATATAACCTTTTATATGCTGGCATTTTGTGGTTTTAGGCAAGGGTTTTCCGCTCAAATGATGATGACGACGATTTTTCAGATGATGATTTTAGTGATGATGAGGAATTGGAATCACCCATTGATGATGTGGATCCTTTTATTTTCTTCGTGGATACTGTCAAAGGTACATAATTATTCCATATATGCAGTGATTGCTTTTGGCTGGTGTTAAAATAATTGGGCTGATAATAACTCACTCCTTTCTTTGACGACATCTGGGATGTGTAATCCAGTTCTTCAAGCATCTGATCCCTTGAGGATTCAGAACCTCCTCACCCAGACACTGGATTTCCATTACCAGGCGCTCACAAGTGGTATTGCTCAGCATGCCGAACAAAGAAGGGTAGAGATCGAGAAGTTACAACTAGAGAAGGCATCAGCTAATGCATCATGATTCTGGTGAGCTTCAAGTCATTACATTACTGAATTCATCCAGTAATGGCTCAAGACAAGCATGAGTATATGATAATTGGATTCGAGTTGCTCCCTGATCTCAATACTTACTGAGCCTTGTGTTGAGTGTTGAGGTCGAAATCTAAACTGCTGTACGCAGAGGTGAGCATAAGGTTAAGTGGGAAACTCGGGATGCTTCCCATCATAGCCTTGTGTGTGGATTTGTTTAAGTCGTCTTATGTTGACTGGGGACTATTCTATGTAATAAGATGGCCCCCCCGTTAACTTGTCTGTCCTTGTTCGTGTGACTTGTTCATATAGTTTTTAGATCCTTCCCGCATTTGGTTGTGTGGAAGGGTTAAAAAAAATACTGCATAGCATCTTTTGCTGTGCTGTGCTGTCCCATAAAATTCACCGGGAGGTGGATGGATTCAATTTTGGAATGGCATACCCAACAATTTTTATTTTATATTCTGGTCTATCTTGCAATTTATTCTTTGTACAAACAACGTTATTCTTTCGAAATGCATGATTTTATTTGGAGTTCTTGTAATGACATTTTGGCATTTATTGTTGCAATGCAAATAGCAATTAACTGGCTTTATGCAACTAGTACTTGTAGGTATGTGCAAAATAAAATTTTCCCTTGCGACTCTAATTAGAAAAGGATCATAGGAACATAAGCCAGTCTAAGATGCAATCCATGCCTAAATTACTAGCAGCTTTTCGAGCATCTGTGCATTTTTTTTAAATTTAATAATTATAAATTATTTAATATTTTGCTTAAAACAATATCATTTTTGAATGAAATAACTTAGGCTGAAATTACTCTGCAAACGGACCTTTGCAAGCTGATGTGGAATTATTTTTATTTTTATTTTTTATTGAAGGGGTTTGCAAATTTGCCAGATCTGCAAACCCCTGACAAAAGCTGTCGCGGCAACTTTTGTATTTATATTTTTTTATTTATTGTTTTCTTTATTTTTTAATTTTTTAATATTTTAATATAATTAATAATGTTATTTTTTAAAAAAAATAAAATAATGTTATTTTATTTTAATATATTGAGACACTTTTGAAAGTTTATTAGATTTGTAGAAATGTAGTATGAATAGTAGATTCACAAAAGAAATGACGTGAAAATGAAATCTATTTTTTATAGTAGAGATTTGCAAAGATAATATTAGTCTTATATAACTTAATTTAAAAAAATAAAAATAATATTTAATCAACTGTTTAGATGGCCTAATCAGCACTTAGAAAGCACTTAGGCAGTCTAGTTAGTGACTTAAATCACCGATTATGCTGATATGTCAAGCAGCTAATGCCTAGGCAGCAATTACATGATTTTTACAACATTGATTAAAAGTCAAATTATTTACTTAAAAATAATGTTATGTATAAAATGTGTTTAGAGTTAGTTGCAATTCCTTCCCACGTCAAAGAACGGAACTTCCAGGAGGCAGAAATCTCAAATTATGGTAATAATGTACTAGGGAGTATCACTATTACCATTTACCAGTTTACCATTACATTAACTGCCAGTTAGATAAGACAGTTCATTAACTTGGAGACGTTACAAAAAAAAAAAAAAAAAAAAAAAAAAAAAAAAAAACATCCCATCCCATAATATATCCTACTTACCAAATGCATAAACAGCTTCCATTCATTTACTTACCCATGTGACTTAATATCCTACTTATCAACAATTCCTTCTTCCCACTTACTGGGAGATTGTGTGCTGCCAGGTAGTACTTCAGCTCTGTAACAGCCAACTCTTTTAACTGCAATAACATTAAGATTAGGCATCAACCAATCGTGTTCATGTTGGCCTATACTAAAACTTGAATGAAATGCTATAAAAAATGGAAAATAAAAATGGGCATCATTATGTAATGCATGTTTGAATTCCTTCATTGACATCTATTGGAGATTTTATCAATTTTCCATTTTTCAAGCCTCAAATACTAGATAAGTTAATAATTCTCAAATCATAAGGCCTGTAACCATATCCATATATTAATACAGAAAAAGTCACCTGTCCATTGTCTGCAAGGTCGGACCAGTTATAGTTTGTGTACGCCTTTGCAGCATTTTCAGCAATTGCTTTACGTTTTTTAGAGGCCTCATTAGCCTTTCCTTTGGAAGCCAGGTCGCTCTCCTCATTGTAGTTTTCTCCATATACAGAAAGCTTAAACTCCTCTAGTGCTTTAACAATACCAGGCCTACAATAAATAACAGAAATAACTTCAATAAAAATGAAAAAAAAAAAAAAAGGTTTTAGAACTTACCTAGACATGCCTTCTTCATCTGGAACAGTTTCATCTTTCATTTCAGGCATCTCATCTTCATCCAGTGCTAGGGCCTGCAACACTGCATAGTGTCTCTGCAATGCTGTGAATAGTGTTGTAGTTAGGATACCACAGAAGTTACTCTAAAAGGCTTTTCAATATATTGCCACTAAAGAAATTCAAATGTACTCTCAATTTAGTGAAGCACTTCTAATTGATAGTCATTTCCTTAAAAGAACAAAAAATGTTCATTTCTTATATTCTCTTAAGTTGGAAGGCAGTAGTCATAGAATATTCACATCTTTCCATTGGTGGAGATTAAATAGAAATAAAATCCTATCTAAAGGAGTTCTCCTAGAGTAAAACATCTTGAGTCAGCACTTTAGAGTAGAAATTAACTACTAATCCCTCCTTGGATGGAGAACTTTCACTCCATGTCCCCATTAGAGAGATAAGGCAAAGACAAGAACAATGCCTCCACCCTGAATTAGTTGACATTTAGTCATTTACCATTCCTTGGGTCAAACTTTGAGTGTGTTTTCAAAATAATACTATGCATCATTTAGAAATTCCTTTATTGTGATTGGTATAAGTTATGATTAAATAACCATTCAAACCTAAAACATTCATATTTGACATCTCCCAATGTGCAATCTTACCAGGATTTGAAAATTGGCAAACAGAAAAATCTTTTAAGTCAATACGCCTCACTACAGCAGAGGCTGCTTTAATTTGGTCATCAGTTGCATGAGGCAAGTCATTTGAATCTGCATGGAACTGCAACAAAACAAACATATCCATTAATGATAAAGTTATCAGGGAACTTAATATGGTTTAATTATTCTACTTGCCTCTTCAATATGTCTGATATCATCAGAATAAGGAAGATATATCAGATGCATGCCTGGTGGCTCAACCTGACCACGGGAAGTTGTTATCTCATCCTGCAGTTTACCAAAGAGTAAAATATCATGACCAGAAAGAAATTAATGGAGGCAATACTTCTGAGCTTGTTATACAAATGTGTAAATGTTGCAAACTTGCACATATACAAATGAAAGATAGAACAACTGTGCAGAGTTGTAGCCAACATATCCTTTATATGATGAGCAATTCACTCATATTCATTTAAGATATCGATTGTTTAAGTACCACTAATTATAAACGTCTTTCATGGATATCACTGGTTTTATCAAATTGTGCTTGTGCACTTCAAAGACACAACAGATTAATGTTGCAATTGCTACATATGTAGATATTCTCTACATTAACTTGAATCACACAGTGACATGTCTACAAGATAGCCTCGCGGAGGAAAGGTTCACATAATAACAGAAAGGAATACTTTTCTATGAGTATTAGTAACTTCTAAATACAAAAGGCTTTATGTTAATTTCTAACAGAGGAAAAGATGTTAAGTACAGGGTCCATGTTTGGTATTTCAATATCAAAGTCAAGCAGTCATGTCCCCTCGCTCCAATACCAAAAAGAACTTTTAATACTCGTAGTACATGTCTATCAAAGATAGGGAAACTATGTCTTACTTGGGCAACAAGGGCAACCAATCGAGACTGAGTCGAATTCCCATAAAAAGCAACTGCAAAACTGTGATAAGAGAATCACTTTAAAAAGAAATAGATAACAATAAAGCAATAAATTGCATAGAAAATTGAGTCAATAGTTCAGCCAGTAAATGTTTAGTTCCAAAAATCATTAGACCAATATTGAAAATTAGTAATACTCCTAAATACATAAGTTGCAAAATTTACAAGCTATTCACATGAAGTGCAAAGACATGACAGCAGCAGAAAAACAGGTGAATGTATTCCAAATAAATATAATGAAACAAAGAAAATCCAGTATTCAGAAAACTTAATTCTAAAAGAAAGAAAGAATTTTGAATTTCCATTGTGGATAGTAGACTTCTCTGTGTGAATATATACAGTATTGTTAGACATGTAGCTAATGTTCCACGCAATTTCCTCTCAGAATCAAGATATCACATCTTTGACTTTTGATTTATAAACACTATAACAAAGTTAATTAAGATGGTAAGATTTGACATCTGGAGGTCACTGACTGAATACAGATCTCAGGTCAATAAGTGGAAAAAGCCTCCATCATATGCAACAAATTTAAGATCCTATTGAGGAGAAAAGTAATACTGATTACTCATTTATATGTCAATACGTATGCAAAATAAATTAGTCAATAAGATTACGACTCTTTTAAAATCACTATAGAGAAGTTCAAGGTTGACTAACCGCTTGAGCCTTGTCATTGATCTATGCAAAGCAATGAAAATGCGAGCACTTCCAATCATCTCCTGCATTAAAACTATTGTTAATAGCAAAAAGATAAGTTACAGGGAACAAAATATCCATAAAATAGTTTAGGGGGTGTCAAAAAGCTGACTGCTATCCAATATCCAAACACCCAAATATTTACAAGAGCAAGGCCTTTCAAAATTAAGAAGGTTCCTTGAAAGAAACTGGTTACTGGGGGTAATAATTTATTCTAATTTATTATGTAAAAAGTACCCGAGACAAATTAACGACTCAGTAGGGAACATTATACACATCCCTCTTTGCTCATGATTGAATTAGGACTTGTAAACAAATGTCAGATACATGTTGAAATTCACCATAAATTCAATTGATCAAGTTTGCATCATTTACTGCTTATTCAATGAGTACAGCTCAACAGGAGTGTGCCACATCTAAGATTTCCAAGACCAACAATTTCATACTTTCCACAATAATTTGACAGAATATGAAACCAGAAACAATATAATTGAATGAAATATGATGTACTTGTGGCTAAAGTAGCATTTGAAGGGTAACATGGTTATCCATGCTTCAAATAACAAATGATTTTACTGGAGTTCTATACATGCTTGGATAAATCACTAGGACTGAAAAGTGCAATTTCTATTATATCATCTAACTCAACTACACTCAAATGCACTGGCTAACTCTGGTATTTTAAAAGGGATGGGGGTATGTGTATGGAAAGAACTATAGACCTTGCAAACTATAGAACAACTAACGCCATAAGGCAGTTAAGCTTGTGCAAACTTAAGCAGTATAAAAGAATTAACGTTTGACCTCATCACTAGGGAAGAGAAATGTTGATGGCCTCAAGTTGTGATAATCCTTTAGACAACTCAATGGTTTGAATCCAAGGAGACGAAGATGTCCAGTAGAAACTCTCTTTATTTCTGAAAGTTCATCAACTGAGAACACGATATTTTCACTGAATC